TCTTGTTCCTCCTACCTCAGAGCTTGGCCTCCCCAAGTCCTGGTAGCTGAATAGTGAAGGGAATAGTGAAGAAGGGACTGAATAGTGAAGGGGTTAGCATGACTATGGAAGCATATAGCTCCTACCAGCTACATGACCTTGGGCAAGTCACTTAACCTCTCTGGTCTCAGTTTCCTCACTGCCCCCCTCCCCCAAAATGAGGCTAATATTATCACCTACCCCAATATCCTTGTGAAGACAAAATGAGTTAATTTCTGTGACCTGTTTAGACCAGTGTCAGGCCCTCAGTCAAGGCTGTGCTAGTGACGGCTCTCACTGTGACTGAATTCAAGGCAGGATAACACAGTGGCAAAAGCATGGAACTTGGAGGCTGACCTGGGTTCAAATCCCAGCATCACTGACTCTTTGTATGATCTTAATCTAGATACTTTATTTCCCAGTTTCCTTCTTTGCAGGAGGGTGATATTGATAGAAACTTACTCAGTAATGCTGCCATGGTGGGGAGGGGCGGGGGGCGGGGCAGGAATGCCTGCCCTAAAAAGAGTCTAGTGGCAGCTGCAGGAGGAGGAGTCCGGCTCCTGGCATCTGATCCCCCCAGATTAGCTGCTGCATTCTGGGGCCAGCAAGGGAAACTGGTCTTACTTGGAAAGAAGAGACATGGACCAGCCAGGAATTCAGGGCCCCAGAAGGTGCCATAAATAGCCAGAGCTGTCAGAGGGCTTCCAGAGATGGGGGGAGGGGGAATGGAAAGGAGCAGTGGAAAAAGGAAGCTGTCAGTCATCAGTCCAGGGGAAGGTCTAGGGCACTCACTCAAGTGTCAAAGGAAAAACTATATATGGGTATTGTGGGAGTGAAGGGTCATCTCTTCAGAGAGCACCAGCCTGGGACCACCTCTGCATCACCTCCCAACATCACTCAATCAGAACATTTTCACCACACTGTTCATCTCCTCCCTGCAGGTCCTCAGAAGCCAGCCCTGCTTCCTCGTTTCCACTGCTTTGACCATGCTGGAATAGAGAGCAATAGCTCAGCCTGTGTCACAGATGTGAACACTGAGGCCCAGAGATGCTAAGTGATTTGGCCAATATCACACAGTGAACCAAGGGCTGGGAGAGAGATATAAACATGGAATTTTCTTCTTTTCTCCCAACCCAGGGTTACACATGAGAACCAAGGGAAGAAGTCTTTCCCACAGGGGAACAGCAAACTGAAAGGGCCCCGCCCTCCCCAGAACTTTTTACTCTTCCTCTCTTGAACTAAGCCCATCACTGTAGCTGCAACATTGATAATGGTATACAGATGATTCATCACAGCTAGCTGGGAGCAGCTCTGGAAATAAGAATTTAGGCTCAGAAGACCTGAACTTGCCTCCCTGTGTAATCTTGCACAAATCCCTTCACCTTCCTGAGCTGCAGGTCCCTAACTTGCAAAATAAGGCCTACAGTACACATAGATGTGAGAACTAAATGAGATGATGCACGCAGACTGCTTGTTGGTACTACAGACAGCATGAAGACTGGGAGCTCCTGGTGAAACAATGTGTTCTTCGTCTCTGCATTCTTAGTATTTACTATAGTGCCTGGCATATAGGAGCCCTCGATAAAGGAGGATCAAGTAAAAGAATGAAGCCAACTTTTGCATTTAAATGCTAGGTGTTTGTGTGATGATAATAATAAGGTGTGTTTGCTGTTTATCAGCTATTGCTGCTTTTTCTTTGTGGACACAGGCACTCCTACCACTATCCTGTACTTTATGTCTCTGGAAAAAGAATTCTCTGGATAAGAATGCTTTTAGTAATAAACCCAGTAGGTAGGGTGATCATATAGTATTCTGTCTATATGGGGCCAAATTCAGGGTGAGAGGGGCACTAGCAGTAATTATGCCTGGACAACAGGTATAAACTATGACTATTTCAGGCAAACAAAAATACCTGGGCATCTTCGGACACTGTGCTGCTCAGAACTCTCTAGAGAAGAGAGCCCCAAATTTTCCAAACCACCCTGACTCCAATTCTGTAGCCAAGCCATGAAAGGGGTCCCCTACCTTCTTATCTCCCCCAGCCATTCCCATTGGAAGCTATGTTCAGCCCAGTCCCCCGGTGTCCTTCGTTCCTCACTTTCAACATCTAGGTGACCGGGACCCCACCCTTCTGTAGTCCTGAGAGTGTTCTAGAGTGTTTGCACTGCCCCAAACATGAAAACCTGTGGCCCCTGCTAAACACTTCTCATGTGAACTGCAAAAACCATCCATCCATCTTCCGACTCTGCGCCAGCTCAGGGATTTCTCTAGGGACCCCATCTCTCATTAGTTTCACTAGCCTCATAACTGGTCCCTCTGCTTCTGCTCTTTCTCACCTTTGGTCTATTCTTAACAAGCAGCCTGAACAATCCTGTAAAAACTCAAGTCAAATTATGTGTCTCATCTGTTCAAAGACAGTGGTTCCCCATCTCACTCAGAGAAAAAGAGCCCATGAGGCCCCAGACTATTTAGCCCTTATTTATCTCTCTGCCCTCATCTCTTAGGACTCTCCAGACAGGGGTGTCCTTGCTTGTTTCCACCTCGGGGTCTTTATATCTGCTCTTCTCTTCCTTGAAACACGTTCTCCTTAGATATCCGTATTATTATTTCTTTCACCTCCTTCAGATCTTTTCTCAATCATCTCCTATTCAAAGTCCTTCCCTGGCTATCCTACAAAAATGTAACACCCTGCCCTCATCACTCTGTTCCCCTTCCCTACCTTTCCCTTAGCACTTACCTCTACCAAATAGATCATATGTATTATTTATCCTGTTTATTGTCTAACCCCTTCAACTTCCGTGAGAGCAGGGATTTCCATTTGTGTTTTTTTCCTTTCCTATATCCCTGGTATCTGAAACAGTACTTGGCACACAGTAGGTGCTCAATAAATATTTGTTAAATGAATTTTAAATAATTGACTAAGAGGAAACATAGCATTGTGGTTGAATGTTTGGCCTCTGGAGTAAAAAGTCTGGGTTTTAATAAAATACGTAGCAGAAAACATAGGTACTAAACTTATCGACCTTGGTCTCAGAGGGGGTTTTATGAATTTGACCCCAAGGCAAGGCAAGTAAAATCAAAACTAAATTAATGACATTATACTAAACTAAAAAGCTTCTGGAGGGTAAAAGAAACTATTAACAAACAAGAAGGCAACCAACTAAATTGGAAAAGATATTTGCAAATAATACCTCTGATAAGGAACTAATATCCAAATTATAGAAAGAACTCATACAACTCAACAACAACAACCAACCCAGTTAAAAAATGGGCAGAGGACCTGATCAGACACTTCTCCCAAGAAGACATACAAATATATGAAAGGATGATCAGCTGCACTAGCTATAAGGGAAATGCAAATCAAAACCACAATGAAATACTGCCTGACACCTTTTAGAATAGCTGTTATCAATATGACAAAGAAATAAGTGTTGGAGATGTGAAGAAAGGGAACCCTCATATACCCCTAGTGGGAATGTAAATTGATACAGCCACTATTGGAAACAGAATGGACATTCCTCAAAAAATGAAGAATAGAGCTACCATATGAGCAGCAATAATTCTTCTGAGTATCTACTCAAAAAGTTTGAAAACATTTATTTGTAAAGATATATGTACTCCTATGTTCATTGCAGCATTATTCACAGTGGCCAAGACATGGAAGTAACCAGTGTCCTTCAGTGGATGATCAAATGAAGATGTGGAACATACATGCCATGGAATATTACTTGGCCATGAGAAAGGATGAAGTACTGTCATTTTCGACATCATGGATGGATCTTGAAACTATCATGCTAAGTGAAATAAGTCAGATGGAAAAGGACCATAACCATATGATTTCATTCATATGTGGGATATAAAACAGAAAACAACAAAAGAAAAAACAAACAAGCAAAAAAAAAAAAAGAAAGAAAGAAAGAAAAAACACCCTCATAGACACAGACAACAGTATGGTAGTTACCAGAGGGCAGGGGAGGGGGAGTTTGCAGACGGTAAATAAATATACAGGGACAGAAGACTAGACTTTGGGTAGTGAGTACACAATGCAATATACAGGGTGTGGCAAAAGTAGATTTACAGTTGTGTTGAGTACGCGAAACAGATTTTATTCTTGTATTATTATTTTAAATGTTGCATTTTTTCCATATGAACAAGTGTAGACCTACTTTTGCCCCGTCCTGTAAAGATGATGTATTAAAGAATTATACACTGGAAATTTAAATAATCATAGTAACCAATATCACCCCAATAAATTTAATAATAATAAAAATAAAGCCTGTGTTTTAATCCTGGCTCTGCCACTTATGGGCTTATGACTTTAAACAAGGCCCTTAACCTTCTGTGCATCCCAATTTCCTCATGTACAACACTGCCTCCCAGGGCTGCTGAGAGCCTGAAGTCCAATTTCACATGTAAACCACTAAACCCACTGTCTGGCCTATTTCAAAAACTCTAAGCTTAATAAATGGCAGCAACACTGTTACTACTGGAGACTCCCAAATCTGTCATTGCATTGTGCGTCCATAACAGGCAAATTTGCATCTATTCCTTTCAGGTAACAATTCAGTTTCCTCCCAAACTGGCAGTTCTTATCCCACCCTGAGCCCAACTTTCTTCAAGCAAACTGGCCTGGGTCTCTGCAACTACCTCAGCACAAGCCTCATCCTGCTTAAACTTCTGAGAGCGCTTCCCTCCTAAATCTCAGGGTGCCTGCCCTGGGGCCCCTTCCACAATCCTCAGGGAGCTGGGAAGTAGGGAAGGAAACAAAGGGAAGGATATAAGGTAAGGGAGGAGGAGGGAGAGAAAATATCTATGTGAGCTGGTGAGGGAAGGGAGAGCGGGTCAAGCCATCCCCACCTGCCAGCTTCCTGTCTTTGCCTACTGATAAATAGGGGATACTCATGGCCAGATTTTCCATTCCCCCCATCCTGGCACCCGCTGTCACTCAATTATAAAAAGATAGAGGGAGAGGGCCTGAGGGAGGGGCAGGAGGCCTTTGCTTATAAAGCCTGTGGTGAAGGGTAAGCACACTCAGCCTGGCCTGCCCAGTCCTCTGCCTGTCATCCCCCAGCAGATTTAGCTGCTGACAGCTGCCTGGGACTTTGCTGCCAGGCCCTGGCCCGGACTGCCACCTCTCCTCTCTTTCAGTGACTCTCCAGCCACAGACCCTCCATGGACCAGAAGACAGAAGCCGCTGAGGCTTCTGCGCCTGCCTCCCAGAATGGCGAGGATCAGGAGAACCTGGATGACCCGGAGAAGCTGAAGGAGCTGATTGAACTGCCTCCCTTTGAGATCGTCACAGGGTGAGAGCCGGTGTGGCCTAGGGTCGTCCTCCCTAGAAGAGCACAGGCTGGGGACAGGCTGGGGACAGGCTGACACAGAGAGATAAATAAGGGCTAAATGGGCTGGGGGAATTTAGGATGGTAACAGCAGGAGTCAGGGTCAAACTGTAAGAATGCACAGGTGTGCACGGAAGGGGCTGCCGGGGACACAGCAAATCTTGCTTGGCTTCTTAGGGTGATACCATAGACCCTCTACTCAGGGAAGGTAGGAGTAGCTCCTGGGAGGCAATGAAACCACCACTGAGACATCACCTCCCGGTCTTGAGACTTCACCTGCCTCTCTGGGTAGAGGTCGTTTAGTCCTGCGGAACCTGGTAAGGACGTAGGATGACACTGGCATATTTAAATATGGCCTCAAAAAACCCCTCCCTCCACTTCTCTCTCTGCTCCTGAGTGAGCCTCTCCTCTATCTGCATGTCTCTTGCTCTTTCTTTTAGAGCCTCTCTCAGGAGAAGATCCAAAAGCAGGGCAGACAGACTCATCCTTTTCTAAGCCTGAGTAAGCAGTTTTGTCCTGTCCAATCTTTTCTGAATGTCCCCCGGGACTGTCCGCATCCACCCTCGGGGAAACCGAGAGGTCACAGCACAGGTAACAGGCCAGGGCAAGGAGTTTCTGGACAGCAGAGGTACTCTCACCCTGCAGCCACAGCCAGGAGGAACCAGGACTCAGAGCAAGGGGTCTCAAGGCCACGAAGAGGGGGCTGCAGACAGGGTCCCTGTCTTGTCCACATCGTGCCGTCTCCAGGAATAATGCCAAGTGGTCTTTCTCCTCTTCCTTCTGCGTCCCTTCCATAGAAGACCCTGCTAAGATCCTAAGCAAAGAGAACAAAAAGGGGACACGTGGGCCACATTATCTCCTGAGCCCCAAGGCTCCCTTCCTTGGAGTCCAGCAGTGCGCACGGGCAGAGTGGGGCCGCACTAAAAATTTCAGAAAGAATGGAGGTGCTACCTTCAAGAGGCAGAAGGAGCCCTGGCTGGCAATTTGGGCCTGCTGTTTTGAGTGTAGCAAGTGGCTTTCCAGTCCTGGCCTCATTTTTTTCACTTGTAACATGAACAGGTCATGCTAGCTGATTCCTAAGACCCCTTCCAGCTCAGATATTTTCTGATTTCTAAGAGAACCTGAGGGAAAATGCTTCCTAATTCTGGAGGCAAGAGTCCAGGATAAAGCCTCTGTACTTGCATTCTCCCATGTCCAACGAACAAATGTGGCCCTGAGCTTAGGATCATAAAGCTACGGGCACAGATTAATAGAGACACAAGGAGAGCCTGGAGCCACTAGGCCTGAGAGTCCTTGATTCCAGGAGCTCTCTTTGGAAGGAGATTCTGTTTCTAACACCTGAGCACACTGGTCCATGCTGTTCTGGTCACACAGACACACACACTGTGCATGCCCACTCTGTGCAGTGTTGTGATCTCCCCAGCATAGGGTCAGGGTAGGTCCAAAACAGAATTAGACTGTTGAGTTGAATAGGCTTTGGAGTCCCAAGGTGTAGATACTAAAGGGTTGCATCTGTCCAGGTCTTTATAATCATGGCCTACTTACGAGCCTGAGCTCATTCAACCCTCAGCACACTGCTGGGAGAGGGAGACATAGGACTGTCACATTCAGATGGTGAAACTGAGAGTCAGGAAGGTTAAGTGACTTGTCCAAGACCTCAGACCGGTAAATGGAAGGTCTTCTGACTCCATCCAAGTGTCCTTTCCATTGTTCTCTTCTCCATTCTGGTTCCCAGGTTCACCAGACAGAGCTCCACCTGTCTCCGTCTGCAGGGTAGTGTGGTTCAGAAGCTTTCCCTGACCCAAGGCTCAGAAAAGAGGCACAGGGCAGGCAGCTTTCTGGGCACTCTGAGAGCAGCTCAGGAAGGAGGTGGGGCCCTGAGTGTTTCCTGGCCACAAGTAACAGCTGTGTAGATCTGTCTCCTGGTCCCCTTGGGGTAAACAGATGGCTTAAAATAGCCCAGAGGTGTGGCTGTGTCTGTGCAGGGACAGGATGAGGGGATGGCTTTCTGCTCCTTCCCTCTCCAGATGCCCTGGAGTGAAAGGAGTCCCAAGCAGGTCTCCTCTTGGCCTGGACTTCACGGGGATGGGTCTGTCCATACTGCTCCTCAGACTTGGGCCACAAACTAGCAGAAGAGCAGGTGGCTTTTCAGCAAACAGTCTGAAGGGAGGAGAGAGTATCAGGTAGGAATAAAGGGAGAGACACATCCTGCTTCTCATGATTCACGTTTGAATAGGGCACTCAGGATAGAGAGCAGACCTAAGAACATTAACAAATAACGTGGTGGAAAGTGTTAGAAAAGGATCTCAAGCTGCAGATGGTGTACCCAAGCCAGCTCACATTGGCTGAGAGTCCATTGTGCATCTCTCTTCCCAGCTCCGCATTCTTGAAGTCTCCATAAGGAGAGTGTTTACAGACATCAGCAAAGTTAGAAATCAGGGGGTTTTGTCTCATTCTTGCTGGGTGCTAAACTAGCACACCACTGAGAGGACCCTCTGAAAATGAGGAAGAGTAGAGAAGGGATGAGTTTTGGTAGTGCCTAAGTAGGTGCTCTGAGGGATAAGATTTGGGGCACCAAGGGACACCATATAACAATACTAGGTTTAATTTCTTAAATGTCGGCAGTTGCTCAAAATCTGAAGGGTTGGATTATTCAACCTATATTTCAGATGAGGAAACCAAACCTTGGAGGAATGCATAATTTGCCCAAAGCTAGTGGATGGAGCAGGGCATGAACCCCCAGGACTGTCTGACTCCGTATCATCACACTGTGTCTAAAAAAGCCATAAAGAGGAGTCTTTTATGAGGAGTCTTTTAAATATTTACTGACTAGGAATTATTTCTTTACTGCCTGTTTCCTCCACTAGTATTTAACTTCCACAAGAACAGGAACTTTGCCTTTTAACTGCTTTATCCCTATAGCACCAAGAATAGTACCCAGCTCCTAAGAGGTACTCAATAAATATTTGTTTTTGAATAAAGGAACGAACTCATTATGAGCACCTATTGTGTGTTGGGCTCTCTGCCAGGTGCTGGGTTTGGGAATTCATTGCAGGAAGAACTTGAGGAGAGAACTTCAGGATATATGAATATCCAGCAGTCGTAGGCTCAGAAGAGAATTTCACTGGCCCATGGCTGCCTCTGGGCTCAGCATGCTTTAGGGTAGCTCTGGGACACAAGAATAGGTTGTCTCCCTGTGTCTCCATCCCAGTGATGAGTGACTGTGGATCTGCCTGGCAGCACCTGTGTGTTGGTCTTTGTCTCTAGCTATGATTTTGCATGAAGCTGAACCTGCTATCAAAGGGGTTATTTTGGAACAGAGATAAATGGCCCTACCTACCACTTCTTTAGCTTCCAGTAGTTTACTCTGACCATGAGAGGAGCACAGACGGACAAGGCAGGGTTCAGAGGAAAAGGGACAGGCAAAGAGTGAGGGGCCTTCGACACTACTGTAAATGCCACAAGCCCCTCACCACTTACCCTGGACTCCGGAGCATGTCGGGAAAGTTTGTTCCATAGAGACCACCCTGGTCTCCATTGAGGGCCTCGGGAAAGTCAAAGCTCAGTGTAAAGATGGGGCATCCAAGGAAAAGGGCCTCCAGGGGCAGTCTCAGGGCCTGCTTTGCACAGGATCCTATCCAGAGCTGCCAATCAGGAGCAAGCAGACCACCAAACTGCTTAGTAGCTCCAGTAAATCTGTCTGTTAGAATTCTCTGCTTCTCTCCACTCCTCCTTCTGACTAGGCCCACTTACATCCACTCTGAAAGTGGTCTGAACAAGGGAAAGAAACTGGCAATTCTGTTTCTTTCAAGCAGGTCGCAAAAGGTCTAGTGAAGGAAAGATGAAATGAGTCAAACTCAATTACCTGTCAGTGGATTTTCCACTTCATGGATTATCTTGGAGCAAATGTTTAATCTCAGACCAATACCTACTGCCCTCCAGGTTGCTTCTTTTCACTATATAGATTTATGTTTAGGAAGTACAAGTGTTTTTTAATGTGAACAGGAGACACACACACACACACACACACACACACACACACACACACACAAATTGACACATCCCTTCCCCTCTACCAAGCCATTTTTTCTATGTATTCAATTTCCTGCCTAGAGAATTGCAATGCCAAGTAGCATGGGTCTAAGCAGATGAAGTGTGAATTGTTTGCAGAAAGCATAAGGAAGTGCTTAAGGAGGTGTTATCTGAGGCTGGGAGTAGGAATGATGCTGTTGGTTTCTGTACCTGAAGAAGTGCCCAAGCCCAGGCAGAAAAATCTATCGTCCTAATCGCTGTCCTGTCCACCACTGCAACATCCGCACACACACCTTCCACTGTGGCAGTAAAATATCTGCTGGGGTTGGGAGTATAAGTAAATATGGTCCTCAGGCATATCATGCTACTAGAAAAAGGTGATTATTTAAGAAGTGTCACTATTTCCTTCCTTCTACTGCTGGGCATAATAGCATTGACCTTTTTTGTGATTCTGTAATATCACCAGACATGACCATGTTATCCTGAAACTGACCTGGGGAAGTTTCAGACCTCTACCAATGCTGTTGCCCTGCTTTCCCTGAAGGGCCTAGCTGTGTCAGTCTGTAGGAATTCCCAGAAAACCTCATTTGATCTTTCTGCTCCTTTCAAAGACCACAAAGGAGAACCCAAGCAAACTCAGTCCCTGAGGAAGCCTGAAGGAGAGACTAGGAGCCAAGAACTTCCCTGCTTTTCCTTTGCCCCTGGAGAGCACTGCCGTTCCTGAGGCATCTCTTCTGTTTCATTCTGTCATCTCTAATGAAAGACAGTGGAGACCATGAGGCTGCTGGCCAGGGGGGTTGAAAAACAGTATTTATAGAGGTGAAATTTCTTCCTCTCCCTTGGGTTTCACATTTTTCTCGGTCCTCCCCAGGGAGAGGAGGAGAGAAAAACATCAGAGCTTAAGAGGGGCGGAGAAAAGCAGCAGTCTCAGACCGTCCAGCCAACTTGCAATTGCACGCTGGGCCAAATTCAAACTCAGTGGGGCTGTATTTGGCCAAGTTGGAGCAATACTTTTGGGGGTTCCAGAAGGAATCCTGAGGGACCACAGCCAGCCATTGCTGAAGCCCCCCAAGCCAACCACACAGTCATGAATACAGCAGGTCCTCCAATAACTAGGTTTCTTTCAACAACATTTCATTATAATGTTGATGAGATGCCATAGGAATTTAACTCTTGTTTATATCAATTAGCCTATGGTAAAATTGGTTTCCTTACATATTGTTTTGTTCAAAGTCGCAGAATGTATCAACAATATTAGTGACGACTTCATACAGAGTCATACAAGTGACTCTGGATTAGACTCAGGGTCAGGAGGGATGGTATAGCAAAAGGCCTTGAAAGCAAAAAAAAGAGTTTGGGTAAGTAAAATAAGCTGCTTCTTGAGAGGAAAAAAACAACACTCCAGGAAAAGAAGGGATCATTTAGCAACCAGGAAGGTTCAGGAGTGGCCTGGGGAGGCGAGATTAATTAGGGAGATCTAACCCTAGCAGGGATTGAACGAGTAGAGGGGAATCATCAGGCATCCATTCTCCCAAAATGTTAAGTAAATAATAAACACATCCAACTAGAGACAGAGGGGTTTAGAGAGCTAAGTATAGTACCTGAAGGAATCCCTAGAGCTGGGTCCTCAAACACATCTGTCTTCACAGTGGAAACTTAACTCGCCAGCAAGGAATATGGGAACTTGCATAGAGAAGAATTGGTGATGGGGGGAAGGGAATACTGCAGGGAAATAGTTCCAGGTTTACTCAGCTCTTTGGCACCTGCTGCTTACCCCAAAGAAGCCAAGGCCCTGGGATACCAGGGACTCCCCTGCAGCCCAGGGAGTTAGGTGACCTCTTTGACCTCTTCGGGGAAACAGAAGGCAGGGAGAGAAGAAACAGCAAAGTTAATGGTTGCCATGGGGTACCTTCTGGGGCAGCCACGAAGATTACATTTTTATTTTTATTTTTATTTTGAGAATTTTTATAAGAGTTTATTTGCGCTAAATGGACGACATATGCTGAGGAGCAAGATCTGAAATGCTCCCCAGAGAATACCTTTTTTAAAAAGAAAACACTCAGCCCTGACTGGTGTGGCTCTGTGGATTGAGTTCCGGCCTGAAAACCAAAAGGTTGCTTGTTCAATTCCCAGTCAGGGCACATACTTGGCTTGCAGGCCAGGTACCCAGTTGGGGGCACGTGAGACGTAACTGATTGCACGTCGTTGTTTCTCTCCCTCTCTTTCTCCCACCCTTCCCCTCTCTCTAAAAATAAATAATTAAAATCTTTTTAAAAAGAAAAAGAAAATATTCAACCTGTCCAGCTGGTACTCACCCCCTGCTCTCCTTCTAGCATTTTCTTTCTTTTTTAATCCTCACCAGAGGATGTGAGGGTTTGTTTGTTTGTTTTCTAATTGATCTTAGAAAAGAGGAAGGAAAAGAGAGATAGAAAAACATCGATGTGAGAAACGTCAACCAGTTGCTTCCCTTACATGCCCCAAGCAGGGATTGAATCCACAACTTAGGTATGTGCCCTGAATGGGAATCAAACCTGCAACATTTTAGTGTATAGGACAACACTCCAACCAACTGACCCACCTGGCCAGGGCCCCGTCCAGCATTTTCAATCTTTCCTGTTGAAGCCTCCTTATTCTCCTTGGCTCTCAAATCTGCACATAGCCTCCTATTTTAGAAAAACATATGCATATACATAAAAACAATCTTCAACTCTGATGCCCTCTCTAGTCCCTGTCTTTCTCTCTCCTTCTTACTACTAAACTTTAAAAAAAAAAAACCAAAAACCTAGCCTTCTTCTTCTGCTTTTTCTCATCATGCCTCTCCCCCTTGAAGCCACTGGACATGTTCATCATCAAGCCTGATTTCCTCAGACACCAAGTGGGCTTCCTTCATTTCAGGCTTACCCTAGCCTCACTGCCTGCCCAAAGCCACCACAGTCCCCTTCCATGAACATGACTTTGATTACGTGTTGTTTTACTCACGAACCTGTAACAACTCTCCAATGCTTCCTGGCTAAACTTTCAAGAGCCTTCGTGTGTCCTTCACTCTACTTGCTCATTTTCAGCAGTTTTCTATTGTTTTCAGCTGTCTTATTGACATCTTCTCTGTCCAGCTAGAATCCAACTAGATTATAAGCATCTGGAGGGCAGAGGCCAAATCTTTCATGGCTTTGGAATGATTCAGTGCTATATACAAGCTCAATCATATCAAGATACCCTTAGGTAGTATGGCCTCAAAGATAAAAAATTCTTGGACACTTATGTGACAACCCTTCTTTCACATGAGGGAAACAACAGGCTTGAGAAACAGCCACTAGGAGAGCACGGTACTGCAAATTGTAGGCTATTCCATGCCAAAAATGCAACATAAATGAGTGACAAGGGAAAGGAATGAAAGCATGAAATTTCTGCAAAATCTGTCTTGCTGTCATGAGAAATTTTACATGCTTGCTACTTTGTAAAATTACTGTTTAAATGCTGCATTTCAAACCTGGGCACAGATTAGAATCATCTGGAGGGCAATGCTGATACCTGGGCCTCCCACTAGATGTTCCAATTTAATTGGCTTCATGTGGGTCCCAGGCATTGTTTGTAGGGCCTTCTCGGTGATTCTAATGAAGAATCAGGTTAAAGAGTCATTGATTTTGAAATGTAGGCATGTGTTGTGCATTGAGAGTGATGGTGGAGTGTTTGGGGACCCTCCCTAGTGAGGTGACCAGAATGCACACCTCTCTCCAAATTCTCTTTCCTCCTGATAAACGCTTTGGGATCTTTTACGCCCTTTTGTCACTGATAGTGAGGAGATCTTGGATAGCTACCTATTCCAGGCTGGCCCTAGAAATGACTCGTCATTGTCTCTTTGTCTCCTTGACCCACAGGGAGCGACTGCCTGTCAACTTCTTCAAGTTCCAGTTCCGGAATGTGGAGTATAGTTCTGGGCGGAACAAGACCTTCCTCTGCTATGTGATTGAAGTGCAGGACAAGGGAGGCCAAGTGCAGGCATCCCGGGGATACCTAGAGGATGAGCATGCAGCTGCCCATGCAGAGGAAGCCTTCTTCAACACCGTCGTGCCAACCTTCGACCCGGCCCTGCGGTACAACATCACCTGGTACGTGTCCTCCAGCCCCTGCGCAGCTTGTGCTGACCGCATCATCAAAACCCTTAACAAGACCAAGAACCTGCGCCTGCTCATTCTGGTGGGGCGCCTCTTCATGTGGGAGGAGCCCGAGATCCAGGCTGCTCTGAAGAAGCTGAAGGAGGCTGGCTGCAAACTGCGCATCATGAAGTCCCAGGACTTCGAATACATCTGGCAGAATTTCGTAGAGCAGGAAGAGGGTGAATCTAAGGCCTTTGAGCCCTGGGAGGACATTCAGGAGAACTTCCTGTACTATGAGGAAAAGTTGGCTGATATCCTGAAGTAGGCAGCTGGGCACAGCCTCACGTGAGTCATGGCACCATTACTCCATTAACTCGTAGAAGGTTCGAGGTCAAGTCGAAATAGTGATAACAGATTTTCCCTGGGAAAGATTTCACTTTCTGCTTTGGGTTGGAACATTTTAGAAGGTCCTCCCCCTAAATCCTTTCCCTCCTACCCTTTCATATCAGACTATCTTTCCCCATAATATGCAATACTTAAGGTTGACAGGAATCTGAAAACTTTGATTAGACAAGAGTTCCTGTATTGAAAGATTTAGATGGTGCAAGGGCCTGCAACTGAACAGCCTCAAATATATTTCAATCCCCTAAACGTGCCCCCATGTACCTGTGTCCAGGATCACTAATTCTGAACACCTTGGAGATGCCTTGTTCCCACCCCTATTTGCCATCCTACCATTCCATTTTTTTTCTAAATCAGGTGTTTCATTCCGGGGGGTGGGGGGGCCTTTTTCCCCCCCCACTTTTGATACTTTTGAAATTCGTCAACTTTTTTTCAGCCAGAGAAGCTTTCATGTTTTCAAACAAATGATTCCCCTTTGAGGGAGACCAATAATTGCTATGTCAATGTATGATGTAAGAGTATTTTTCTTATGTTGAGAAGACCTCAGCAGAACTCACAGAAAAATGCAGAATGCAGGAATGGGGATAATACAGCAACAAGACCTATGCAGGAATGTTTAAAGGGTTAAAAAGATGTTTGTAAATTAGGTAGCAGCTCAGAAGTAGTCTCCTGCAGATATCAAGATAGGATAGGAGAACTGGAAGTAAAAATTAGCTATTTAAGCAAATAATTAGGACACAATTAAGGCCAGTTTGGCCTCTTGCTGAGGGTAAATTAGACTCTTACAGAAAGAGGCCAATCACCCTCAGGAAAGACAGTAAAGAATCCTTTACTATCTTTTTTGAATTTGATCTAATCTGCTTTGCTCCACCAGCAATGCTATGATTAAGCCCCTTTACAAGGCCTTAGTTACTGATCAAAGTCCTCCAGTAACAGAGAAAGGGTCTTCACCACCCTTTTAAACAACCTTAATTCTGCAATAACTCACATGTTACTACAACACAAAAGTAGCATGCGTCTGTGAAGATACTCATATTTGGTATCTCCCACTATTATTCTCAAGAGAAGATGTCATTTCATAAACACGTTTTGAAAATATCAATGTTCTGGAGCTTGATATTGGTAGGTGTTTGCTATTAGATGTGCACTCAGGGTGGCTGATAATTCTCTAGCTGAGCATTTGTCAGTCAATGAAGACACCATTTTCAGCCATTTGGTACAAATAGCAGGGCCCATTCATTGACTTTAGTGAGACTATGGTTACATAATGTCACGTAGTACTCTGCTCATATAAAATAAGACACCTCTGTGAGTGGTAATAAAAACAGATTTCTAAAGGTGACTTCTGGAGATTCAAAATTACCTTTTACGTTCCTTGAAAATTTTATTAGTGCAGGTACTATCACTGTAATTATAACCCTACATAGATTCTACAGAATGACTGGTAGCTTAATTTTAACCCTAGTATATACTTGCTTCTTAAACATCTTTCAGAGTCATGGGCCACGTCTTCTAGCTGCCTAACTAGCAAGTCCTCAGGGATTTGTGTGTTTTCTTCCCCCCAACCTTAAATCAAATTAGATAGTTAAATCTGCTATAAAAATAAACATTTCAAGGAGAATTAAAAGAGCTTTTAATTTTGGATAATTGAGGGCTGTACTTTCTGCTAATCTGCACAGAAATAGATAAATTAGTTTGATAGAAAAATCCATTTCTAAGTGAAATTATTCTTAATGAAATATCATTGGACATGTTCCACATTATAAACTTCTTTCCATTAGTGTGCATAACTGTAGTATCTGGACCCATCATTAACATGCTTCCTGTACTCTATTTGAGTTGCTCATGTTACTGAAGGAAAAGGTTAAAATGTACCAAGTTGAAAAAAAAAATTGGCATGAAATAGAGTTGTTATCTAAAAGCCCAAAAGAACAACTCTGCTTAATTAAAATACTCCCAAGAAATGGGCATTTGTTAAAGAAATATTTCTTATTTCTTATTTCATCTTTTAAAAAAAATGACAGACTAGGATTCAACCACGTATTCAACTTGAACAGTTGGTTAAAGCACATCTCTTCTGGGGATTTCTCTGGGTGAACCGTACTAAAACATGAATGGAACAAATACAACCCTCGGTAAGCCTGTAGTCACAAAAGACTACAGAGAAATTCAGGAACTTGTTGGAGAAGGCACACCAGAAACCCTAATTCAACAAGAGAAATTCTTTATTGTTTGGGGCCAGCAGGGCTCTCAGTAACGTGTTTTCTGTTTTCTCATCAAGGTCTGCCTGCTGCCAGGAGACAGCAGTGACAGGTATGGCCTTACGGGACATGCCTGACTCCCTAATACCACTTGGAGCTGGACACCATTCGACACCAACCAATCCCACTGCACAAGGCCCTCTGAGGATTCAAAATACACTTCTCATGCTGTAAATCATCTTAGCTGTGCATCTTTCTCTAAGGCGGCTCTGGGGAAAAAAGTGAGTTGCAAGGAGAAACAGCAACCATATGTGGGTACCAGGCATTAATGGGGCTGAGGGTTCTAACTGCTCCCCAAAATGGGCTGCGTAAGGCAAAGAGCCTCAGACAGTCCCAAGATCTGTGCAGATCTTTGAAGTATGTCCAGAAATGCATTTGTGTCTTTTTCTAAAGAAAAGCAAGCAACAACAATAAAAGAAGTGGTGTGGTTTTTCTGTGACCAGGTTTTTTAAGGTACTTGGAATTTAAAAGTTAATTACTGACAGTGATCAAGTCCCAAGAATAGTGATTTCCCAAGCTATGAACCAAGCCACATATAAAGTGGGAAAGAGATTTAAACAAGGACTTGTCTAGGCAACACAGGGCCCTCTCTCATGTAGACTTCTCATCCTGGTCTTGACCTTCTTAAAATATTTTCTTCTGAGATTCCTTCAGTGCCTTTTGCCTTCTCTAAAGACAAGAAATGTAATGTGATAGGTGAAACAAGGCATGGGAAATCTGTTTATAAAATATCCATGTCCCAACAGCCAATTAATAAGCAATTAGCCTCTTGATTAATCAGAGGTGAGAAGTAGGAGGATTTCAGTGTTCAGATACACAATATAAGGGTAGTCAACATGTGGTACCTGATGGTGATGGCAAGCTGATGTCAAAGTCTCATTTCTTAGAAGGTTTGAGTCCTATTAGAAGTAAAATTTCAGAAGCGAATTTCTGGGTGTTTGCCAAACTCTAACTAGGTTTCCAGGAATAACGTGTTCATTCTGATTATCAAGGCAATGCCTTTCCCAGGTTTTGAGTATGATAAGTCATCGGAATTTGACCCCAAGACTATCTGCAAATGACAGAGCATTTTATCACATCCCTGCTGAATCCCAGAATTCTACTTACAGCCAGTCCTCCATGAGACTCAGCTCTGTTAAAAGAATCAGGGTTAATATTCCATATAAAAATTAACCCTAATCCCTTTCAATGTAGGAGCCTTCCACACCAATGTTTTGCAAAATTAGGAAAATATTTTAATTGTTTCCTCTTATCATTCATTCATTCTCATTTTCAGTTTTGTGTACTTTGACATTATTTCTGCTTTTCTTCCCCTTCTATTTTACTAATAGTGCACAGAAGCAAAGCTTCAAGAAAAGCTTTAATCTAAAAGCCTGAAAATGAACTTGCTCCTGCACTGCCCTACCCCAGTAACATGAAGAACTTGTCTGTTCCACACAGAGGTACAAAAGACATGAAATACTTTTTTGAAACTGCTGCCTCATATCAGGCTGCAATGTGATAAGAACATAAGTCTAAAGTACAAAGGTTATATTTAACCAGTGCTCTCCTGGTGTTCCTACAAGCCCACTCTAAAATCCAGTTCTTTCACACTTTGGAAAGCAAGTCCTACAGAGGCCCAGAATTCACTCAAGGGAGAAAAATCAGTATTAGGTCTGGATGTTTTAACTCCTAACACCACAGTAAGGGAGGGGTGGGGGTGGCGGAGAAAATACCACTACTTTTCCCAATACCTCTTCTACTGAACCACTGGATAAATCTATGAACCTTTTTCTCTCACAAAAACAAGAGAAAAGAGTTTTGCTCTCCTAACTGGTTACACTTCAGCGTACCCACCCCCCCCCACCCCGAGCTTAAAAACATAAAGAAACCCGCCCATTTTCCCTAACATCCCAACTACCAAAATAAAATTTTGGGGGAAGTGGGTCTTTTTGGTTTTTAGAAGATTTATATGGATTTTGTTGAGAACTGAGTCATTTCTCTGAACTAGGCACTTTGCCAGGTATTTAACACGTATTTTTTTGTTTCATGATTGAATTGAGACAGGTTCAATCACAGAAACTATGTAGTGGACAAAAGAGTTCACCATGAGGGGATTCTAAAAACCTGCCTTTCCCAAATGCTGACCCATCATTGCTGTCCATTTTTCTCACCTTGCTGCTCTTCCCACCGGACACCCTCTCTGACTTTTCCAAATTAAGTTGTAGGTAAATCCTCCATTATCCAAGTCCAGAACAACACAGACATGTGTACAGAACCTCAATGTAGCCCAAGAAAGATATTTATTTTTCCAATTTTTTTATCTCCATGAACTCCTTAACAAGGTAAAACCCACTTTTGTAATTTAAACCAACAAAAAACCCTCAAAATTCTCTTCTAGTATAAATCTGATGACATAACGATAATACTAAGTAAATGCATGAATGCCAAAAGATGCAAAATTAACTGAAATGGTCATCCTTCCTGAAATTTCTCTTAAACAGCAGAGTAAAATCAATGCTGCCACCTAGTGACAAGCCAAACAAATCAGGTAGCGTCCCAGAGCAAAACAGGGGTCCTCTGGCCCAACATCTGGTTCCCCAACTATTATCAGGCTATTACCTACCTTCCTGGGGGGGAAAAAAGATCACAGCAACCTTTCCCAAGCAATCTCTCCTTCAGAGTCCCAGTCCAATCATAGGAATACAGAAACCTAAGTGTGGCCTGTGACACAGATAACTTCAAACGAAACTTTCCTCTGACAATTTTTAAGGTCAGTTTGCCCAGTCGCACAGCCCAGTAGGGATGACACAGGAAAACATGGACACATCCAAAATGTTCATCTGTTCAGAGTGTATACACAGTAATTCTGATGTCTGTTGCGTCAAACACCTCCTCAATCATTGCAGATACATTTTCCCACTTCAGACGATCAAGACCACACCCAATCCTGAAAAAGACAAAATATCTCCATTGATTGTGATGAAAGTATCTAGGAAATCATTCCTTCCCTCTTTCTTTCGACCGCATTCACCCAGAGCATAATAACAAATTATCTTGATTTCACACTTATCAGAGCCATGGTGGGAGTTTGGAAGTCAATTCCTGTTGTGAGTCATCCAAGCCTGTCCCTAAACAGCCCTAACATCCCAAAGCTGTAACTTCTCTTTTGCCTACTGGTTACCACTTCTCAATTATTTCAAGAAACATTTATCAATGTATAACTGTCGTGACACGGGAAGACTCACTAGCCTTCTATGTTTATTGATGAGAACTAGCTGTGGGTGGACAGAAAAATGCTTGCATATTAAAAATACACTTATAATGGAAATTTAAGGAAGATAAGAAGACATTCAGGAGGCAGGATCTCTGCAAAAAAAAGAAGTCAGGATGGAATGTTGAGAAATGCTGAGATGATTGCAATTCAAGTCTTTGCAATACCCTGGTGAAAAACCTTACTCAAGCCACAAAACTCTACTACCTAGCACCTTTCTTCTAAGATGTTACTTTATTGATCCTCAACATCTCTAGGGAAAAAAAGGGAGGCTTAAAATTGCTCACAGCATATAATGTGGTAAGTCACTGAAAAAAACTGTAATTAAAAAAAGTTTCTGATACATAATCCATAAATATACTAAGGACTGCTGTAGCTGCATAAGTAACTTGAAGCTTGTAATAAACCTGCATGTATGGTCAGCACAGACTCAAAACCAGACTGTCAGGGAGAGGTGACCCCAAGTCTATTTCCTAAGACACAACAAAGGGGATATTGAAACCCCATCATTCTTTAAGTTCCCAATAGGCAGTTTCCAAGACATTACATCAGGGGCATATCCTCTAGCTACTGCCCAAGGTGGCCACCAACAAGCATGCAGTTTAAAAGGTAGTGATCATTTACAAGTTTCTTTGCACAAAATTGACAGGTTTGGAACACCTGAAGTGGCCCAGAGGAAAATCACAATTGTTCGGCTGTGGTTCTTAAGCTCACATTGCTTCAGGAAAAGAAGCTAAGCTTCAAGCACAGGACTAGAAATTTAGCTAAAGTGATTGAACAATGGTTCCCCTCGACTACATAAGTTGAGGCAGGCATATATTTTAAGTTAATTATCCTTATTCATTCAACCCAGGCTAAGACACAGGTATGCCCTGGCCTAAGGTCTGACAACTGGTTCACTGGTGATTTTAAAAAAAAAAATTTAATTTATTGATTTTTAGAGAGAGAGGAAGGGGAGCTAAGAGGGGGATGGGAGAAAGGGAAACATCAATTTGTTGTTCCACTTATTTATGCAGTCACTGGTGATTCTTACATGGGCCCTGAGAGGGGATCAAACCTGCAATCTTGGCATATTGAGATCCTGCTCTAACCAACTAAGCTACCCAACCAGGGTTCACGGGTGATTTTTTTAAAGTTCTGAAATTTGTCCACCTTTCAGTCTATATTTTGAATTAAGCTTTTAAGTCATTTGTCTTTGGGTAAGACAGTAAGCCCCACCAATCAATTAAATCTTCATTTAGGGCCCTGGATTTCCTTGCCTGGGCATGGAGAGATCCGTAACTCCATTCTTCAGACAATGGGACTTCATGGCCTCTAAACTCTTCTGTAAGTTTTCATAAGTTGGCTTGTGTGAAGCCCTTTTCTTTGTAATCTGAGTACAAAGAAAAAAATTCAAACTTCTATTAGTCCAAAATGATAGCCAAAGAAAAGCCATCACTGTCCCAACATCCTGATAAGTAAAACAAGAAGTATATTTTCACAGAATAGTCTACAGCAGTGATGACAAATGTCATACTGTTCCTTCCAGTTATAGGAGGCCCTCAGGAAAATCGCCCAAATAGGGCCCGAGAAACCCAGACACTGCCATGTATATAATCCTTCCTTTTCTCAAGCCCAGGAGGCTTACAGACTGTGCCTACTCTGTATTGTTTTTAAGCAAAGTAGGTGAAAGTCTTTATGTCACTTCCAAGAGATAAGCTGCATACCTGTAACAAGGAAGAACCTAAACCACCTGAAAATTTCCTGTTAAGTCTATTTATTTAGAAACTATGCTTGCTTGCTTTTTGTTTCTCTATAAAAAAAGACACTAGTAGCATTCCGAATAATACTGGAAGTCATATCAGCCTTAAAGACAGCATTCAAATGACCCCCCTTAGTCCGCTGTCTAAATCCTTATAGTAGGTTGGCTGTAAGTCAGCCAGTACCATCATCAAGAAGCCACACTCTTTCTGGGGCTGAAGACTATTTGGACAGTGGAAGAATCCCACATTGAGGCAGTAGATAGGAAAGCAGCTGAGTGACTTTTATAGGGAAGAATGAGAAAAACTCCTTTGGGCAATCTGTCTCTTGAGACATTATTGTTTTTCTATCTCACTATGACAAGGAAGGAATTAAAGTATGGAAGACATCCTTAACTTTTGCAGGTCTTAGAACAAAGGCCTTCAGTAGCCGTCCTAGCACTCTTTCCCACTGAGCCAGGATGCAGCTTCCATTCTAACCCAGAGCTCCAAAGAGCCATCGACACTGGACCTGAGTTGGTATGAAATCAGCAGCTTTTTGACATCTTTGGTTGTTTAGAATGGAATATCATGATCAACACAAATTCAGCGCAGCCTATCCTTAAAACTTATTGAGAATTGGCCCCATCTTACCAAGTAATATATATATCGCCCATCTCTCTCCAGAACAGCCACTTCTCCAGATTTCTTTTCTAAGAAAAAGTTATTTAATAGTAGAAAGAAAAAAGAAAATCAAAACACTGATCTCGATTCTTAGATTTAAAAAAATCTTTACAGATGTTTACCTCAGAACTAGTTTTCAACTCTAAAGACAACTATTGTCTCCTATGAACACATTGCTCCTTATCAGCCTTCCTAAACACTATATTCCTCAGCTTCCCACTTTCTTAATCGCTTTCTCAACCATGCTTTCCTTACATTTTTCCTTTGCCAAAAGTGTTCATTCAACAATGATCTTTTTACACAGAGCTAATGTTTAAGCAAAATTATGAGGAACACAGGAGTACAGAAAGGTTCCTAATTATAAGAGTTTCCAATCAAGGGAAGCTGTTATGTTCATATATAATACGTAATACAAAGAAATTGCTTTTTTAAAAGCTGGGATCAGAATCACCAGTGGAGATCCTGTCCATGTAAGCCTGGACTGTGATCACGGCAACTGTTTCAGAAGCTCCACATGATTCTAATACACACTCTGGTTTAAAATCATTGGTAGAAAGTGATGGAAGGGGGTCTATAACAAAGAGGATTCTAAACTCCTAAATACAATATGGGTGAACAGGGGATCTTGAATGCCAATACCTGTGGACTTTGCAAAGCTCTTCAGTGTATTAAGATTTTCAGAGAAATTGAGTATTATCAATAAGGTTTTATAGAAGAAAAAGAAGAAATGAGAGACTTTTACAAGAAGTCAAGCTTGGTGTGATAAGGACCCAAACTAGAGGCTATTGTTTTGTAGAGAAAAAAAACCTGATGAAAGTACTCAGTGGTTAAGAATACCCTCCTTACATGTGTATCTTGTTTAATAATTAAAATATAACAGGAAGTCAAAAGATGCTCTAGCCAGAGAATAAGAGTTAAGCTATTTTCAGAACTCACGTTGATTTAATAGTTCCTGCACCCCTCCAAATTTCTTCTTGAAGAGTACAGCTATCCCAGCGCCCATTCGACAATCCTCACTGATACAGTGGGCCAGAGAATCTGTTTTGGGGCATGCAAAAAGGTCTCCTTTCACATAAGTGATCTAAAATGTGCAAGGGAAAGAAATGTTTTATTAGATACAGAAAAATACTAAACTCTTCCTTTGTTTTCCTTTATAGTTTGCCACCCCTCCCTACCTTCTTGATTTAAAGCCAAATCCTCAGAATTTAAGGAATTAACAACCACAGACTACAGCGTGTGTAAAAGTGATGGCTGGTCTCTGCCTAGATTGTATTATAAAACAGCTAGCGAAAAGAGGCGATTCAACTATTGGTTTAATTAGAAAGTGTTTATGCGTTTGACCTCAATTACTCTGGAATTCAGTTCACCGTAAGTTAGGAGTTATTACGCACTCTGCTTCCTTCTGCATCTTCACTAGGGCTGCTGGCCATGATACCGAGTTGCTATCTCCAAAAGTTAAATGTTTCCTCAGCTAAGAGAAGGGAAAAGGAAGGAAAAATTCTTAGGCAGCCTGAATATACTATATTCAATTCGCTCTGACCACCCACTTCCCCCCCCCCCCCCAACATTTATCAATGACTGTAAGTTCGTCCAGCATGTAGGAAGTGGTACAAAACTATTCTGGGGCAATAAAGAGAACAAATGTCTTAGGTTCGAAGGGGGCCACGCCCCGCTCGCATTTCGCGCTCTCCAGGAGAGCCGTCTCAGCCAGCGAAGATTAGGCGGCCCTAAGACACGCCTCCTCCTTTCCCCGCGCCCGCGCCAGGCGGGTTTAGGACAATTCTTAAACTCTGTGGGTTTGGCCTAGGAGAAAAGAGGAGGGGCTTAGGGCCGCAACTAGGCAGTGTGCTGCCCAGCGCAGGAAGGTGGACTCTCAAGAAAACCTTACTCCCCTCTTTTGCAGAGGATGCGTAAGGGAAAAGAGTCTAGAGAACCTCCCACTCTGTCTCCTACCCTAAGGGCGGGTCACGAGGGTGTAGAGCCTGTCCCAGCGTCCCGTGGGAAGGAGCGGGAAAGCTCGCTCAAAGCCCCAAGGTACCGGGGTAACCCTTCACCTGAAGTCGGCCGTTAGGAGGACCCGCCCCGCGGGGAAGGGCTCCAGATCCGGCCCTGGTAGGTTGCGAGCATCCGACGAGACCAGACGTGGAGCCAATCCCGCCACAAGCCCTTAAGAGCACGAACCTAAGATGGCCGCCCACCACCGCGCAGCGACGCGGAAACAAGCCCCTCTAGCTAGCTAGCGGAACCTGCACTCTTTGGTGATGGCCGCCGAACTTCCGGCGGTAAATACCGTGGAGACTCCCGCCGCCACCCGGGCATGCGTAACGAGACAGCTAACCACGAGCGGGGAGGGACGGCGCCTGCGCGTTAATCCAGGGGTGTGCCTCCAGTAGCCGCATAGAAGTGGGTGGGAAGTTAGCAAAGGAGCTAGTTAGCGCCTGCGTAGTAATAAGTTCAAGGAAGTGTTTGAGCCGGAGGGTCCGACGCGTCAAGAAGGCGCCTGCGTATTCCTTCCGTCGGGACTGGTAGCTAATCAGGGCAGTGGGCGTGGCCTCACGGGACGCCTGCGCAGTGCTCCTCCAACGGGGCGTGGGGCAAGCCCGGGGTGGGGGGTTTAAGGGGCGTGGTCTCAGAGACGCCTGCGCGGAGGCGGTTGGAGGGAGGCCCGATTCCCCTTTGTTCGGGTTCGCCATTTTGCGAGGCAGCGGCAGTGGCGGCGGCAGCGGCGGCTGGAGCCTCTGATTGGGTTTCGGAGTCCGGTACTGGAGCCAATCAGCGCGGGCAGCGAACCGGGGGAGCGAGGCACGGTGAGTGTGAGGAGCCAATATCCAGCGGCCCAGAGCCGGCCCCAGCGCCCCGATTGGCGGGTCTCGCTGACCACTCAGGAGAGGCCCAGATGCCCGTCGAGCCCGGGGAGTCGAGCTGAGCCTAGCCGAGCGGGGTGGCAGGCGGCCCCGGCCGAGAGCCTGCGAGCGCCGCGGGGCACTCCCGGCCGAGGCCTGCAGGGGGCTGCCCCGCCCGGGAATGGCGCCCCCAGGGGCAAGTACCTCGGGATCCAGATTCCTACAGAGTGTCAGTGCCAGTTGGGGATGCGTCCCGGTTCCCCCGATCCTTAGGCCAAGGTTCTCAGGCCTCAGGCTCAGGAGTGGCGGGCTTGCGTGCCACGAATATGCGTACACTCAGGTACACACACACGCGCCCGCCTCGGTGGTTTCCTCTTGGTCGTTCCAGCCTCATACTTAAGGCCGAAAGCCTGCCCTTGCATCCTCCACGCTCCAGCCCTCGGGAAGGGAAACCTTCCCCCCGCGGGGCTGCCGTCCCTAGCGCTCCGTGAGCCAGTCTGTCCGCAGCCCTCCTGGGTCGTCAGGGAGGCCTGGGAAAGATGCGCACAGTGCCCCAAGTGCCATGGGGAGATGGGGCCGGCCCGTCCCCGCCTCGGCGCTCTGCGGAACCGTCCCTGCCGTCTTCCTGGTAGGGGGACGGAGAGTGAGCCAGTGCGCCCACTCCCCGTGCTCCGCCGGGCCCCTCCTTACATCACGCTCAGCCCGGATTCCCGGGCCGGCGCCGTTACCACCCCCTTTTGGCTCGTCATTTCCTTTCCTCCCCGCCCTGATCGCCAGGCCGGACCCACACTTCAGTCTTGAAGCCCAAGCAAGCCGTCTGTCTCCCTTTTCTTGCCCGGGCTAAGGCCAGTCCACTAGTGCCTGGAATCACAGTCTTAGAAGATTGCAGACCTTTGGCATTCCTTTTCCTGGAGGCTGCACAACTTGCTTTTTCATGCTGTTAATTCTGTCTCTTGCTCATCTTGTGAACTCTCCCTCCCTTGAGAATGTAAAATTTCTTTTTCTTTCACCATTCTGTGTTATTTTGAACGTCCTAGGCTTGATTCATTGGCTCAGTCCACACTATTTCTTCGTTTACATTTTTCTAGTACACTTTCTAATTCCACGTTAACTTTTTAATTGTGCGGTTTTCCTTAGGGTGAGAAGAAATCCCTGTTGACAACCACCTATGGAGCAGTTAACATGTGCCAGGCCAACAATCTATATGATGGGGAGGGAGCGGGTAGATGTAAATAAGAACCTTTCCTACCTGGGGGAGATTGACAGGTGAACAATTAATCAATACTTAATGATTAGTGCTATAATGGGACCAAGTTCAGTTTTGTGATATATGAGCTTCCAAAACCATGGTGGGAGACTTAATGCAATAATACAGCCACGCTTTTTATTGGCCTCAGAATGATAGGACTTCCTCTAACAGGAAAGAGCATTGCTTACAGAGCAAAGAGCTTGGACAGAGGCATCAAATTGTGCTGTCTGTGAGGAAGGGGAATAGAACAGGCCAGTGGGCGGAGTTAAGGCTGGACAACCCAGTTGATAAAAACACTAGTACATCTTAAAGAACGTTTTCTAAGATTGGAAAAACAACTTTCTGACTTGTGGGGTTTTGCCCCATAACAGTGGCTTTTAGTATGGAGAGAAAGGGAGATATCCCTAGGACTTTAAAAGGTTTTACTTGCCAGGCTCTCTGAGCAGGCAGGTGCCTTTCTTCCCTCTCAGATGTGCATCTTTACTTTTCTCTCCTAAACTCTTAAGGGTTCCCATGAGACTCGGAACAGGCAGTAGCTCATCCCACACTTACCCTCCCAAATCTGTCTCCAAGGCCCCCTTTTTTTAACTTTTCATTAAGCTAACACCCATCCAGTGTGGCTCGCTTCTTTCCTATAACATTTTTAGAGAGCCAAAGCACAGCTTTGCCTAGGCTCACTCCTGGTGCTTCCTCTACACTTCTCAGTGAGCTAAAAGCAGCCCATCTTGGCTTACTTCTTTTACTGTGACTTTTACTTCTCAATAAGTTCATGCAGTCCATTATGGCCCACTTCTTCCTATAGCACTTCTAGGGAGTCAAAGTGGAGCACCACCAAGGCTCTCTCCTGTCGCTCCTAAGCCCTTCCTTTGCTTCACTGTCTTTAGCTTTAAAAAAACATACCCTCAAAATAAAAATTAATAACAAAAAAATTTACATACGTGAAGCACCATATATGTAGAGTAGGTCTTTAGTATATATAGTGACTTTTTCTAATCACATTTACTAAGGTCATACAACTGGTAGGTTTCAGTAAACTCCTAATCCAGTGTTCTTTAATTATTATCCACATTTATTGATGAGTCAAACACTTTTGCTAGACTTTCTAAAAGACAGTTATAGTCTGGCTACTTTTTTTGCTAAACATCTAGAGCTCCCACCTGTCTGCAGAACTTTGGAATTGAGGGACAGGAGTCTGGCCTCATCTTTCACTTGACATTTGGGGTCTTTTAGTCTGCTGTTCATATGCTGAAATTTTTGTGTCTTTTATTTTTTTTAATCTTTATTGACTTTTAGAGAAAGAGAAACCATCAGTTTGTTATCCCACTTATTTATGCATTCATTGGTTGATTCTTGTATGTACCCTGACTGGGGATTGAACCCACAACATTGATATATTGGGATGACACTCTAACCAACTGAGCTACCTAGCCAGGGCCTGTGTCCTTGTTTGTATGCTGGCTTTTCATTTGGAGTGCTCCACCCCCTCACACATCATCACTTATAAATTTTTCTCGCTACATTTTCCTTATGTCTTCCTTGATTTATCTATCCCTACCTGGAAGTCTCTGTTCTCCAGATTCCCTTATTACTTCGTTTCTCGTAAGTTCCAACACAGATTTTTATACTCCTTTACTATACTTAAAGACTCTTTGAAGTTAGGGTCTTTGTCAGTTTTCTTTTTATTTCTAAAACCTTTAGGACAGTGCCTGGGACATGGTACATCATTAGTGGAGAAAAGGAGCAAATTAGGAACTTTAATCCAGAAACCTCTTGGACAGTAAGGAAGCTGAACGGCTCTTCTACAGTCTTTTATCAAAGATCAGGACCCATTCGTTAAATTGTAAAATCAGTTTCGTGGGCTTGTGCTGGCAATTTATAATAAATTGAAAAATGTCAGAATATATATCTTATAAAAGATAAGTATTCATGAAACTTTTGTTTCAGTTACTTTTTTAATGTTACAGGTATGGTGATTTGTAATAACAAAATGTGTTTCTTACTATGAACTGTGGTCAAAGAAGTTGGAAGGCTACTATTTTAGGCTGTATACCTGGTAATGATTGTCAGGTGTGGTGATATTGAGGGCTTTTCACATGCTTATAGTTCACTTTCTGGAAGTTTTAGTTCTCAGATGTGTGAGTCCATATAGAATGATTCCTAATAATTAGCTACATTTCAAGTCCTATGCCTTGAAATGGAAAGAAGTGAATTTTCCTGCTAGGCAAAATAAACACACACTGAGGAAAAAAACATTCAAAACTTTGGGTTAGAAACAAGAGTGAGACAGACTAGATCTGGCTGACTTAATTTTGTCAGAATCTTGGGCAGGAATCATTGTCTTGAGGAAAGACAATGTCAGGTTTTATTGCAGTTCTGCTAACTGAAGTTCACAGTAGTAGGAACATAGGGCTTGCTTCACTGAAGCCAGTTGTGTTACAGCATTCACCATTAGCAATATCATGCTCCATACTGAATCACTTTCACATTACTGTGAGAGACAATTGATATTAGATTTGAAGCTGCTTTCTTTTTTTACTCTGCAAAGTATAGTGGATATAAATATTTTTAATTTGGAGCATTTATGTTATGAGATAAATTAGTTAAAGTATGCATACCTGTTAGTAATTCCTATGCTATTTGAGTAAGATGTGAATTTCTGGAAATTAATGGTCAAGGAAAGAATCTCATACAGTAAGGGGGTTTGGGGTGGAGGAGGTATTGAAATATAGAAGACATTCCTTCATGATCCTTATTTTCCAGATCAGCTCTATTGAGATATAATTTAGATACAAAGGGTAATTATTTTAAGTTTATGTTTTGATGAGCTTTGACATATTTATGAACCTATGGAATCACCACCACAATGAAGATACAAAACATTTCCATCATTCCAGAAAGGTCTAGGTGCTCTATCCCAGTAAACCTCCCACTTTCCCTTTCCCCAACCCCCCCACCCCCATCACTCCTCCAGTACTAGGGAACAATGATCTTTCTGTCTCTAGATTACTATTGTCTTTTCAGAGTTTTATGTAAATGAAATCACATAAACTCTTGTATCATGATCCTTATTTCCTTAGTTGTATATATGTATCATGTGTACTGCAGATAGAAACAAGATAGAATTTAGGGAAGACTGTTTACTTCCCTGGCAGAGTCACTTAATCTGGTTGAAACCTGATTATCTCTGCTGTTCCCACCTTCTCTTGGAGCTGAGTCAATCACCCAGTTCAGAAGAGGCTGATGTAAAGATCAGAGTGCCATTTTGTCACTGTGTAATGAGAAAATAACTATCAAATTGACTTGTGTTCTTGATTATGTATGCTCCTTATTGGCTAATCTATATGTAAATCCAAATTAAAACTAGATATTTTCTTGGTGAGTATTTCATTAGAAGAGGGTAGTGAATTGGAGAACAGTATGACAAGATGCATGATGCTGTGATGACATAGTAATCCTGTCACTTATTTATGTCTTACACAATACATACCATTTTGGTTGTGAGTGATAAGCTTAATTAATTTTTGTTACGTATTTTTCTTCCAGTGTTTTAGTTTTAAAATTTTCAAACCTACGGTAAAGTTAAAATAATTTTACAATAAATACCTGTGTACCCACCACCTAGAGTCTACCATTAACATTGTACAATACCATACTTGCCTTTTCAGATATCTGTTTATTCTTACACCCATTCATTTATTAATCTCTCCCTTTTTTTTTTTTTTTTTTGATAAGTTAGAAAGCATTTCCAAGTACCTTTTCAACAGCAGTATACTTCCTCCTAAATACTTGGACATGCATTTGAATATATTTTGTTTTCTTCTTTCACACAATATTGAAACAGCTTATAAGTGATTAACCTCATTCACCATGTGTGGATTTATGGAGGGGGGTGCTTTGCTTTGCTGTTATAATGTGCAGTTTAGTTAACTCACATAATTTTATCACTCAAATTCTAGAACTTAAAGAAGTCTAGAGAAAAATTGAGGGAAAATATTTTATCTGCATTTTGTTTATATACCTGTGCCTCCCCCATATTTCCAAGGTGATTACCCGTACATTTTTTAATCAAGCCATTCAAGATTCTCAAATATCACTTCAGTTTACCTAATTGTGTCCTTATTTCAAAAAGGAGTATTCAACTTATAAAATATATAAGAATGGTAAGTTTGGACATTGACTAGCTATTTGATATTATTGAGTCCTTAATATTATCAGTGATACTGTAGAGATACAGTATCATTGTGATAAAATGATAAAGACTAAAGAGTCTTTACTCTTTAGAGACAGATGCTAAAGTGTTTATCAATTTTGGGGGGAAGGAGGATAATATGGTGCCTAGGGTTTGCTTCACAATAACCCAGGGGTGGGTGGAAAAGTAAGATACATGTGAAACAAGATTGACTGTGGGCTGAGAATAGTTGAAGGTGGATGGTGGCAATGGAGGTTCATTATAATGATCTCATTACTTTTGTATATATTTGAAAATTGCTATAATAAAAAGTTAAAATTACACAGTAAAGGGTGGCATTATTACGCGTTCCAATTCAAGACTGGGGAAAACTAGTTCTTTTTAGAGAAAATAGCCATTTTAAAATTTTTCCTTATATCTAATATGTAAATAATCATTCTTGCCATTAGTATATGGTAATTCCTTTTTATTTTTAGCTCTGGATTAAAATGCAAATTCTTAAATCTATGCTAGGGCTTTCTTATTTAGCTCTGCTTAATGGAGATTTTTGGTAAACAAAATAAACATGGCTTCAGATTGGGTAATTCACTTACTAAATAATAAACCCTAGAGTTTTAAATTGCTTATTATATGTAGGGAACTAGAGTAACATGTGGCAGGCAACAAATATGTGTTATAAATTTTTTAAACTGATTATTCTCTAAAGACATGTGCACACTTAAAAATTAGTGTTGAATAAGCCTTGTAACAAAGTGATGTTACAACGTAATGAGTATTTCTAAGATGCTCTTTTAGTGTTGAAAGGTTAGGTTGCCAATGAAATGACTAAAAGTATTTTTAAAACATGCGAAAAAGCATTATGATGTTGTCATGACTGTGCCATGTAATTCTAGTTTAAAAATGATACTGTATATAAACATTATCTATTTTTTTATGCTGATTCCTTACAAATAAAGTACAACGGTTAAGTTATAAAGGTTAATCATGTGGCAAGGCCTTTATTGACAAATCCCACTCTTGTTCCTTTCTCAACATTTCAAATAGGAGTGCATCTCACAGTCTTCTAGACTCTACAGCGGAAAACTCACTGTGTACGAGATCTTTGAGGGACCATGGAGCAATATACAACGAACAGCAATAGTTCGACAGAGCAAATTGTTGTACAGGCTGGACAGATTCAGCAGCAGGTATGGAAGTAAACCTGCTTTAAACATCACAGCAATGGAGCTGATAACAGCACTACTCAATTAGGGTATTTGAGAGGTACCAGATCTTATAAAAAACGAGTCTGATGACTTGTGCTGAAGTGCTTTTTGAAGATTGACTTTGTTGTGATTTCCGTCCTGTTTTCTGTGTTCAGAACTTTGTATCCAGTCCATGACTTACTGAGAATTTGTTCTTGGGAGCCTGGTTTAATAGTAATTTGTCCCTTTTATCTTTTCAAAAGTCAAAACACCTAGTCTGTTTTCAGATGGAAATTTGGAGTTTTGGGGGTTTTGCTGGATTCAATTTGGTTATTTCTCTTCTTGATTAAGCTAGTGTGTGTGATCTACTGAGGCTTTGGCCATGATACACAAACCAAGATAGTCACCTTCTAAGAGTTCACCGTTCTTTGATTTGATCCACCACAGTTCTTACTCTGAAAAGTTCTAGTGTACCATGAGAATGATATTTAGACAGCCACTCTTCTGGATAAGCACATATTAGAAAGGAATTCCCTGCTGCTGGTATATTCCTAATTAAATGCGTTGCTTTCTTAATTTATACACAGCTTACATTATACCTGGTTTTTATGAAACTTCACTTGTTTTTCTCCCTAGAATAAAAGAAATTATTAAGCATCAATTTAACCTTAGGCCAAGATTGAGAATATTTTGTTCCCAAAATGGAGTTTAGATAATAATAGAAAAGTAGTTAGTAGGGAGGTCAATGGAAGTTTCGATGGTGGGTTGTCTTATCTAATGATCAAGGGAAGGCACTACTCTTGATGAAAAGAGTAATTAAACTCCTTTGCTTGCCTTTCCTTCCATACAGCTGCTGTGGCTCTGGCAGTTTCCTTTGAACTACATTCTTTGTAAAAGGGATTCTACAAGGGGCCCTCTATTCACACCAATGCCCTGGTGGGTGAATATTAGTCCTGTTAGAACTTACCATTACAGGACATAAAAATTAGGTTGAAAATTGCTTCTAAGGTAGTCCAACTAACTAGAGGTAATCTCAGTTTTGGGACATGGAAGCAGTGACCTCTTGAAAATGATTTTGGTTCACAATGATTACTTTGTTCCTCCTTTCTGGCGATTGCATTTAAGCCCCAGAAATTCTTTATTGTAGCTTCAAGGCTGTTAAAACCTTTGTTCTTGTGAACTCATTTGAGGAAATAAAAAGAGCATTAAAATAACTTTGTAGGCAGAAGGACCAAATGTCTATTTCTAGAGGGAAGATCTACCTTAAAAATGTTGTGTTAATGATGACAACTGTTCCATTGAGTCATGGAATTGTGTTTTGAGTTCGGACAAAGGGCTAAAATCTTTAATCCTGCTACCTTCTACAAAACAGCTTCAGAATAGGGAATCTGTACAATTTGAAAGTCCTGTGTAGGGTGGGGCTGTTGAAAGACAACTCCCTCCCTCTCCTATAAGAGGTAAGGTGATCTCCTGTCTTCAACCATACGTTTCCTTCCTGACACATTTCAAGCTCTTCCTGTTCCTGTTCTCAGCAGCAGGGTGGTGTCACTGCTGTCCAGTTGCAGACTGAGGCCCAGGTGGCATCCGCCTCAGGCCAGCAAGTCCAGACCCTCCAGGTAGTGGTGCCCTCTCTGATTCTCTGTAAGCACTGCATGAACTTCTCCTTTCCTCATGTCTGGTGCTGTTTGTGGTAGGATCTCAAGGAGGAATGGCAAAGTCAGCTGCATGTCTTTGATGCTAACTTGTCTTTGAGGCTTATAACATGCCAGTTTTCTAACTTTTCATGCCAAGTCATGTAGTGATTCCAGTGTGAATTTTCTGAAAACAGCATTTGGCTAGTATGTTTCTTTGGAGAATGCCTTGGAAAGAATTGTTACAAGTGATAGGAAGAAATTCTTACAAGTGTTCTTAGAACTTATTTAGAGCTCAAGCTATCAAATTGCATGGTGAAATTTCATGAATTACAATAGTAGAGCAGACAATATATGCACATTAGGCAGGCTAGCTTGGGCTTCATTTTTATTAAAAGGGCAAGTCAGCTGCAAAATTATCATTGGACTTGGCACGTTTTATCTAATTACTAAATTTTGTTAATCTCTTAACAGCTGCCTTTTTACTCTTTCCTGGGGAGAGATGATCTGTTTTTATTAGATCTGCAAAGACTATCCCGTATCTCTAGGGTGGAAAGTGGGATATGCTTTCTATAGGTCTTAGGTTTAATAGCCACTATAAGAATTCATGCTTAAACAATGCAGTTTCCTAACATTATGTTGGCCAAGTTAAATATCTTAAATCGGGGTGGTATTTTGACCAGCTCCTACATAAAATTAGGAGTAGGAGCATTAGTCTCTTCTGTGTGTCTTGGTTACTTTTACTAAAATGGCCATATTTTTGAGAAACTGGAAAGACTTGGGTGCCTTATATTTTTTTTCTCCATTGAATGGAAATGTTTCAAATTCAGACCTAGAATATAGAACTAGCATCTTGCTTGATTACTAGTGCTGTTAAACATCCTGGAGTTAACTACCCCTTATTGTAATTGTTTTACTTTACCTTTTGGGCCCATCTCCACATCTGCCACCCATGGTGTATACTGATGTTACATGGCCAATTCTGAACATAAGTTAGGCTGAAAGAACCTGAACTTGTAGGTTCTCCCTAACTATATTTGAATCTCAGAGTTCAGCAGCTTGTAATTCATGTGTTTCATGCTTGCTTCATCTTATTGATATGTAAAATATTGTCATTAACCACTTTCGAATTGGAATGTAACATGCTCTTAACTGTATGGCTTTTTGTCTGATGCATGTGTCTTTGTAGTTATTCATATGTTGTAAATACAGTGGGTTCCTCGGAGTCTCAAATGGTTTATTATGTGCATTTACAGCATGTCAACAAGGGGAGAAGTTAAGGTGATGAATAGCCAGAAAATTATTAACAGTTGCACCTTAAAACTTGTATTCCCAACCTATGTAGATTTTATTTAAAATAAATGGAAACACTTCATGGAAATAATGGAAACCATTCTTTAAGGGTCTCATTATTTAGGAGAATTTTAAATAGTTCTTTCAGTTATTCATGCAATAAATATTCTGAAAAAATCTTTCCTGACAGAGCACATGCAGACATTGGTGTAGCAAAGGGAATTTGACTTGGGATGGAGAAGTAAGGGAAGGAGAAACCATGAGAATCAGATTGTGAAGTCCTTAATATTGAAGTGGAATTCCTCAATGAATGGCTTAACAAAACCTAGGATTTTGAATATTTCTAAAGACTCTGGTAGGCTTGGGAGGGGGTGCCTAATATCTATATTCCTCTATAACTGATTGATCTTGTGATTAACTTTATTTGAACATTCTTTCACTAGCATTAAGAATGATTATTTTAATCTTAAAAATATTCTTTTGTAATATTACAAGTAATTTCTCAACAACAATAGAGTCTGAAAATGAAAGTTTTTTTACTTTTAGCTATTATGTTGAACATTCCATTTCACTTTTTTTTTTTTGGCTTCTAGAAAGCATTCTATTGGTTAGGTATTTTTATATTGGGACTTAAGGTGTTATAGAGCACATACAATCTCCTGGCTTCTAGAACATTCTGTTTATTTATGGGAGCTTGAAACTTGGAAGTGTTTTTTGGTATATTTGAGTGCTCTGTGTAATTTGCATATTTGTCATTGCTTCTGTTAAAGTTAAAATAACTGCAGGTATTGCAGGGTCCATTGTGAGGAATTCCACCAGATACTGCAAACTGATCAGACAATATTTCTCGGTAGTTTTTACTAGTGGGCTCCTTAAACAACCACCAGACTGGAATTCCCAGAGTAAGGTGAAGAGGGCAAGAGATGTACATTTCACCTATGCTTGAGAAACTACAAGGAGAAAGGGTCTTCTACATAAGATTCTAGAGCAGCTTTCTACCCTGCCTCCTGGAGTCATTGCTGGATACAGTTTGATTTATTCCCTCAGGTTATTTAGAATTTATACTTAACCATCATCACCACCACCAGCTACCCCTCTCATTGTCTCCTCTTCAGCACTCACTAGAGACCATTCCTGGATATTAGTCTAAAAAGGCAAATAGTCTTTTGACATTTTGCTTAAATGCTTCTCATGGATTTAGCCTGTATTTGGTGATAAATGCCTTATATCTATCGAGATTTACAAAGACTAGATATACTTCATTATATCTGACTTTAAAGTATTCAACTTGGTCTTTAGTCAAAGGTACAATAGATGCTTGAAGAAGAATGAATTTGAGGATGAGCACTTGAGACTTATTATCTTAGGATGTCTCCTACCTTTTTCCCCTCCCCCTCTAGCAAGGCAGCAAAATAGTTCCAGTGATTGTCTTTAGTAAAAACCATTTTGTGTCTCATGTTATTTCATTGTTCTTATTTTATTTCATTCTAGGTCCAGGGGCAGCCATTAATGGTACAGGTCAGTGGAGGCCAGTTAATCACATCAACTGGCCAACCCATCATGGTCCAGGCTGTCCCTAGCGGGCAAGGTCAAACCATCATGCAAGTACCTGTATCTGGGACACAGGGTTTGCAACAGGTGAGTGGTATGAAAAAGTGTTTAGACAGAGCATTAGAAGAGAGGTTTTAAATAATAACTTATTACAAACTGTGTTACTGTTGCATTTAATTGTTTCTTACCCTGTATCTGCATTTAGTCAATATTCCACCTTTGTAGTACCAGTGATAAAGCAGAACTAGACAGAAATTGTACGCCTCTGGCAAGGACTAATTAGGCATGATTTTGAATCAATGTAAAGAATATAAAAAGATGGGAATCTAGTTGAATAAAAATATTTATTGGGTGACCTTTGTTGGCATTTCTAGTCAGAGAAGAAGGGAATTTAGTCTCTTTTAGAGATTTTTTTTTTTTTTTGCTCAGAAATGTTATCTTTTCTTTCCATGTAATTAATTGTTTGAGTTATCCTGCAAGTAATGAAAAAGAAAATATTTTAGTCCGTAATACCCATCACACACACCTACCACTGTATTTAGAGCAAAATTTTATAACCTTAAATACTTTTTTTTAATTGAAAATAAATGGATGATGTTTCTCATAGGAAGTTAGGAAGAGAAAATGAACAAAAAGTAGGTTAATAAATGAAACTTAATTTTTCCATATTCCCTTGTAGTTTTTATACATACTTTTTTTCTATGGAAAACATCAGATAGGCAAAAAGACAAGTAATACAGTGAACTTGGATAAAATACTAGCCAAGCCTCCAGTAATGTTCACACATGGAAATTGGGTTAAATACTCCTTTAATATTTTTAATTTATAAATTTCTGCTCCACACTTTTTTCCCTTGCGATGTGTTTTTATGCATACTTTTTGAGCATGGTTGTGCCGTTTATGTAGTTGTGGTTTTTTTAATTTACTGTATTCCCACCTAATTTTTCTTTCTCTCTTTATGTTTATTTATTTTTTTAGATTTTATTTATATATCTTTAGAGAAAGTGGAAGGGAGGAAGATAGGGAGAGAAACATCAGGGTGCAAGAGACACATGCATCAGTTAGTTACCTCTTGCACGCCCCCAGCTGGGGGGCCCAGGCTGCAACCCAGGCGTGTGCCCTGACTAAGAATTGAACCAGCAACCTTTTGGTTCGCAGGCCGACACGCGGTCCACTGAGCCGCACCAGCCAGGGCTAATTTTCTTATTTTAAATTCCTTCATAATGGCCAATTTGAAGAATCAGAATTTACAACTTAAAACGTATATTTAAGGTTTTTCCTTTGTTTTTATTTATTTATTTTTGCTTTTATAGGTGAGATTACTGCAAATTTATTTGAGCATGATAGTTTTATTTTTCAGTTGAACTGATTCTTAAAGCAGTTTCTTTGGAGTAAGGGGGATTGCTTGGACAAGGGAAAGGAGAATTTTTTAAGCTGTTGGCTTATTTTTGCACAGTAGAGCTGTAGTTGGGATTAAAAATAGTTTCCTCATTTTTCCATCAATAAATGTATGAGGATTTAAGTATATTTTCAGTATATGTGTTTTACTCTGTTTTACACTTCTATTTCATTTCTGTCGTTCCTCTCATTGGCTCATCTTTGGCCTTCCATTGGCACACCTTCCTTTTTACTCTTGAATGGAAACAGTGTGAGGTAGTGCTTGGAACAGTGTGCTGGGGGTACAGTGACTTGACTTTTCATTCCCAGGTCTGCCATTAAACAAGCTTTTGGATCTTGGCCAAGTCATTTGATTGTCAGTTTTCTCATCTGAAAATGCAGTTTATATCAGGTGATTTCAAGGGTTTATTTCAGCTCTAAATTCTATGATTTTATGGATTTAATTAATTTATGTATGTATGTATTTAACTTTAAGAGTCTCTCACAGGGTGATTTATTTTATTCTCCTCCCTCCAAGCAAGACTGTAATTAATCAAACCACCCTAGAAAAATTATTTTCTGGTAACATATAGGACTCTAGGTAAGAGTCCATAGCCTTTCTTAGAATACTTAAGATATCAATTCTTTTTCATAAGAGTTTGTTTCTCATTATCATTTTTTGAATAACCACTTATTTTAGAAGAATACTTTTAACCTTTTTTATATTGCATCCTCTATTTTAGAATTCCAGTGAGACCCTATGCCCTCTTAGAAAAGGTACAGATGTCCAGATACATGGAAAATCTTGCATACAATTTTAGGTGGAGATCCCTGGCTTGATATAAACAATGGAACTGGAGTAGAGAGCCAAGAAATAGATTGAAGAATATTGGAAGTTGGTATATAACAAAAACAATATAACAGTGAAGAAGTGGTTTTAAAAAGGTATAGATGTATAACATGGATGGAATTATGCTAAGTGAAATAAGTCAGAGAAGGACCTTCCTACCTCATAAATAATAGCAGAACAGGACCTCTGCTTTTGTTTCATCCCCCCTGCCTCACAGCATTTTCCACTTTGTAGAGGAATTTGGGTAACTAATACTCCAGGACCAAAAAAGACCAGTGTCAGCAGGGCACTAATCTTTCTTTGTGTTGTCTTCCACAGATACAGTTGGTTCCTCCTGGACAGATCCAGATCCAGGGTGGGCAAGCTGTGCAGGTACAGGGCCAGCAGGGCCAAACCCAGCAGATCATCATCCAGCAGCCCCAGACTGCCGTCACTGCTGGCCAGACTCAGGTAACTCCAGTATCTCCATGAACACAAGAGCATAGCTGGTTTATAGGGCTCATACAGCTGAGGCTAGTATTTCACATGTAGTAGAAATAGGAGGGAAAAAAAACCCATCAAAAATATTTTTTAAGAAAAAGACTACATACCCCCCCCCCTTTTTGGGGGGTGATGTCTTAGGGTCTGTTAAATTGTGTCATGATTTATTTCCTACAGACGCAGCAACAGATCGCCGTCCAGGGGCAGCAAGTAGCACAGACTGCTGAAGGGCAGACCATTGTCTATCAGCCAGTTAATGCAGACGGCACCATTCTCCAGCAAGGTAAGTGTACCCATTCATTTCTGTCTACTTTTGGGAGGGCATCTTTTTCATTTCTGAGCAAATCATGCTCCAGAAATTTCATGGTGACCTTTACATGACATATTTTTGAACAAACAAAATAAGATTGTTGATTTTTTGTCAGCAATACACATGACCAACATCCATTCCATTTGCAGGACTCCCTACAGTGGTTGTTAAAAGACTGGTCCTAGGGATTATGTAAGCTTTTACTCTTTTCTGGGAAGAAATATTTCTAAATAGGAATGTTGAAAATACAAGTTTCTTTGTTGGTTGTGGGAAAAATGGATTAGAAGTCAACTTGGCATTTGGAGTATTGTTGCTGCTTAGGTGTATTTTTTCAAGGCCACTTCATTCATAATTTCTTCCAGAAAAGACTTAATATATGCCTATTATGTATGTAGAACTTTCCTAAGAAAGTTCTTAGATTTCTTCTCAAAAAGTCTGTGTTCTAATAAGGGAAGCATACATGTGAACAAATGTAGTGCAGAGCCCTTACAGAGGTATGTTCTAGGACTAGATCATGCATAACAAAGGGAGCAGTGAAATATGGCTTGAGGGGGCATGTACTCCAGAGAGAGGAGGAGATGGCATAAACTGAACTTAAGAGTTCTTGGAAGCATTTGTCACATAGTTAAATCTGAAAGGATACATCTCAGATTCCATGACTAAAGGTTTGACCTGTGATTAAAACTTAGCAGTATACAAGATCCAGTGAATGAATGCAGTAACAGTGTGCCCTCATATGACTCAGGAGAAGGCCTGAACTAGATTGAGCACTGGCAGGAGATCAAAAAAAAAGAATGGTAAACACCTCTTTGGGTGCTGCTGTTGATAGTTTGGGGACTTGAAATGCTTGATTTAATTTTAAGCTTTAGACCTGCAACTGACTGATTCATTGTCAGTTTAGGAGGACCAATTTATAAGTTTAAAAATTCTCCATCCTGAAACAGATTGTTCATATGTACAAAAACAGTGAGTATAGCTATAATCAGACTGACCCATAAAAGGGGAGGCCTCCACACTGTCTCACCACCCATGGAAAACTTACTGTAAAGCCCAGGACAGTATCCATTTTAAAGACAGATTTATTCAGAGCTAGAATCCAGACAGTTAATAAAATTTCAAAGATTGTGATTACATGGGTTTTATATAGTATATCAGTCAAAGAGTGAGTGAGTGAGTGCTTTTTTTCCCCCACTTTGTGCTGTTTAGCATGTTTTTCCAGGGTGAATGAGTGTGTGCCAGATAGAAGAGGGACTAACCGTGTTCCCTTCTTTCTGTGTGCCTGTTTTTTGCTTTATTTTCTTAAAGTTACAGTCCCTGTTTCAGGCATGATCACCATCCCAGCAGCCAGTTTGGCAGGAGCACAGATTGTTCAGACAGGAGCCAACACCAACACAACCAGCAGTGGACAAGGGACTGTCACGGTGACACTACCAGTGGCAGGCAATGTGGTCAATTCAGGAGGAATGGTCATGGTAAGAATGTTGATTGTTCAGCTCACTGTTCTCATTTGTAATTTATTTTTCTATATATCTTTGTCTTTGAGAAATTCTTTAACTTGCAATTTGATGTCTGTTATAAAACTTGTTTATAATGTTGACCTCTTAGAACTGAGATTGATCCTTCAGGCACTTACAGACATCTACTATTACAATAAACATTACAGGAAACCATAATTTATTCTGAGGACCTTCTATGTGCCAGGCACTATTCTTGGTGCTGGGGACAGTGGTTAAACAGATGTAAATGTCTGCTTTTATGTGATCTTATTCAGAATTCGGGTATTGAAGAGACAGTTAGATTACTAATCTTTGGAAAATACCTTATTCCTAGAGGATAAAACAAGAAATAAACTAAAAATGAGGAAGATTGTATCAGAGAAACCAAAAAAATGTGTGATATAAATATGTTGGGAATATAGGGGAGGAGAGTTGGGTGATGTGTGTGAAAACTAAATCCTCATCTGTCAAAATAGGATGTCAGTACATAGTACCAAAAATGGATAAATTAAGAATAGAGTAGTAGAAGCCTGCACAGAAGTAGAAGAAACTACCAAAAGAAACAAGACAGACATTCAAAGTAATTATATTTGGGAAGGGAGTGAGGCAAAGGAGACTTGTTTCATCATACATATAGTATAGTATTTTGTTTTTGTTTGCTTAGAAAAATTAGAATTATATAGTGACTTAACTAATTAAATTAGCTGTATAATTATAGGCATTAAGTAGCACTTAGTAAATTCGTACCTACTTTTCTTTGTACTGTTCTATTGTCTTGTGATTATTGTTCTAGACCATTAGATGGCAACAGACATTCCTAGAAAATGGAGTCATAAGTGGACAAGAATTTGGACCAGGTTATGTCGTTTCTTAGCTCCCAGGTCCCCTATGACAATCATCTGTAATGTTTGTTTAAAAGGCATTTAGTATAAATGTTCTCCAGGAAATGCATTTAACTGAATGCCATAAAAGCTACTCTTGGTAGCATTCAGAAGAAAACAGATTAATAGGGATTAAGAAACTGTTTCCTGTGTCCATACTTCATGTCACTACTTAACAAACTGGTTTTCTCTTCACACAGATGGTGCCTGGTGCTGGTTCTGTGCCTGCTATCCAAAGGATCCCTCTACCTGGGGCAGAGATGCTTGAAGAAGAGCCCCTCTATGTGAATGCCAAGCAGTACCACCGCATACTTAAGAGGAGGCAAGCCCGGGCCAAACTAGAGGCAGAAGGGAAAATTCCAAAGGAAAGAAGGGTATGTATAACATTGGGAAGGTTGTAGAAAGAGAATACCAAGGTTCTATTTAGGAATTAATTACCTTTTATATAGTTTGTTTCCTTAAGTACCTTCTAAACAATTAAAGGTAGTTAGCTGATATCTTTTATAAAAGTTAGCATTTGCTATAATTATATGCAGATGCAAATATAAAAACAAAATAACACTGACTTAAACAAATTTTTTTTTGCGTATAAAAGAAGTCCAGAAATAAATTATCCTGGGCTTTAGAACGTTTCCACAGTCCTCAAGACCCATTCTCCTCCTGTCTTATTCTAATACTATTAGTATGCTACTAGTCCAATATAGCTGCTTGTGCCCCAGCCTAGGAGTAAATGGAATAAAAAAGGCAGCTCTTTCAAGGAAACTTTCAGGAAGTTTGATGTTTCTCGTTAGCCAAAATTTAATTACATGGCCACACTTACCTACCAATAAGCCTAGGAACTACAGCGTTTTTATTGAGTAACCATTTCCCTGACTAAAATTTGGTCTGTTAAAGGGAAGGAGAAGATACAAATATTGGGAGGAAGGTAGTGATTTCCATGATACCTTTAGGAAGTCGTTTTTTGTTTTTTTTTTGTTTTTGTTTTTTAACTCATGTAGCATTCACAGTTTTATGGTAGTTATATATAGGTAGCATCTATCTCATGTTTTCTCCAAACCTTTCTCCATAATTCAAAGTCATAGTTACCCCTGGTGGCTTTGCTCACTGCCTTTCTAAACTATTGAAGTTGGAATCTGTATTAGATAACTGTGCTGGTTCCAGCTAGTACTTAAATGGTTTTTATTTCTCTTGTTTTAGAAATATCTGCATGAGTCTCGACACCGTCATGCCATGGCGCGGAAGCGTGGTGAAGGTGGACGGTTTTTCTCTCCAAAGGAGAAGGATAGTCCTCATATGCAGGTGAGGAGACTTAACACCTTTCATTCTTACTACTTTGTATTTTCTTGGGTGAAAGCCTTTGCATTATCCTTTGCTATTTTGACACTAAGGACTAATCATATTCTCTAAATTGAATGCAACATTGTATACCTTTTGTCTTAAAGCACTAAAGGTCTTTAACCTAGTGGACTTTTCCTCCCACCTTTGCCAATTATTAATATTAATTCATTCTTGAAATTTTCACTTTTCTTGATTTTCGAAGAACAGTAGCGGCTAACACTCTACTGCCATGTGCCAGCCATTATGTTAAGTACTTTTATAAGCATTTTTTCTCACTGAACCTCTACAGCAACCTCAAGCCCCATGAGGTAAGAATTATCCTTCCATTTTACAGTTGAATCTGAGGTTTAGAGAGGTTAAATAGTTTGCTAAGGTAAAATGGTACAATTGAAATTCAAACCCAGGCAGTATATGAGGTCTGTCCAGAAAAATTCCAGCCATTATTATAATGAGAATGGTTTGTGCAACATTGATGTAACCTGGCAGCAAGAGAGTGGACTGAAATGCACATGTGTGAAAAATGCTGACTTCACTGTGTACTAGTCAGTGGGGATGGTAGACGCCATTGAATGAGCATATGTGCTCTGTGGCTATCACATTCAAAATGACCGAGTGAGTAGAGCAATGAATCTGCATCAAATTTTGCATTAAACTTAAACATCCCTCTGTGGAAGCTATTCGGATGACTTAGAAGGCTTTCGGGGTCAATGCAATGAGTGCAACACAAACGCCTCAGTGATGATCGAGAATGTTGAACGTGTACAGGCTGCAGTCAACAAAGATTGGCGACTGACTGTGAGAACTAGAAACTGATCTGGGGATCCCAAAAACCTACTGTTTCTGAGATTTTGATGCAGGATCTTGGCATGAAATATGTCATGGCAAAATTCGTTCCGCAGCTTCTGCTACTAGAGCAGAGGGAACATTGTGCCGCAGTTTATGACTTGATTCAAACTGCTACCAATGAACCAGGTTTCCTTAAGAAGGTCATAACTGGAGATGAATTATGGGTCTACAGCTATGATCTGGAAACAAAGGCCCAGTTACCCCAGTGGAAGTCGCCTGGTTCTCCGTGGCCAAGGAAGGCATGGCAAAGTTGCAGCAAGATCAAGACCATGTTAACTTTTTTTATTGGGAAGATGTTGTCCATTACAAGTATGCCCCTGCAGGCCAAATAGTTAATAAGAGTACTACCTCAATGTTTTTCATCAGCTGAGAGATGAAATACCCAAAAAAAATGGCCACAGCTGTGGGCAACTGGTGATTGGCAGCTTCATCAAGGCAACGCACCCACTCACACATCACGTCTCATGCAGAGTTTTCTGGCAAAACATCAAATCACCCAGGTGACTCAACCTTCCTGCAAAACAGATTTGGTGCCCTGCAACTTCTAGCTTTTCCCAAAATTAAAACCACCTTTGAAAGGGACAATTTCAAACCATTGATGAGATTCAGAAAAATACAACTGAGCAGCTGATGGCAATTCCAACAAAGGAGTTTGCAAAGTGTTTTTGAACACTGGAAGAGACGCTGGGAGAACTGTGTGGGGTCCCAGGGTGTCTACTTTGAAGGGGAACTGAGGCAACACTGTCCTATGTACAGTGTTTCTTGTATCTCATATCTCCTTCAGTAAACGTCCCTATTTTTCCTATTACATGGCTAGATATTTTCTGGACCAACCTCGTAATTCCAGAACTTATTCTGTAACTTCTGTATTATACTGGTTCTTAATCTGATTCCGCTGATTGTATTGTATTGGCTTTCTGAGTCAATATATCCAAAATAAGACTTGATTTCTTTTTTAATGCCTCAACCACTCATCTCAACAAGTGACATGTCCATCCAACCAATTACTAAAGCTAGAATTGTCCAGATCTTGGTTTTGCCTCAAACAATATTTAAATCCATTTACCTTACCCCTCCCCAATTGCTGTCAGCCTAGTCTAATCCTCTCTCTTTTGCTTTGATTAGTGTAACAGCTGCCTACTGTTCTCTCTCCTTCCATTCTGTGTCCCTCTGGTCCATTACTCACATCTTAGTGTGGTCATTTTTAAATGTCAATATCATATCACACCATTGTCTTGCTTAAACTGCTTCTACCCCTGCCTTTTCTTGCTTACCTTGGCCAAACAAGGTTCTTCATGATCTAGCTCTGGCTTCCTTTTCTCCTATTCTTTGGTCTTTATGCTCTTGCTACACTGCTTATTGGTCTCTCCTCAGCCATTAGAACCTTTATCTTTAAAATAGTTGATCTGTAAAGCTTTTCACTCCCCACCTTTCTTCATGGCTATCTCCTCATCCTTTAGGTCTTGGTTTAAATATGAGACAGTGTCCCTAGCCCACCCTATCCGGAGTAGGTCTCTCTTACCCCATTATTTCCCTACATCTTTAGAATGTAATAATTAAATTGTTTTATTTGTGTAATTGTGCAGTGGTTGTCTCCCTCACTAGGCTATCAGCTATGTAAAGAGTAGAGGATTGTTTTGCTTTTAGTTTAATGCCCCATCCAAAACAAGCACTCAGTAAATGTTTGTTAAATTAATGGATTCTTCCCATTTACAGGCACTTTATTCTGTATGACTGTCACATCCCACCTGCACTATTGTCACATTGGTCTGTATAAGATAGTGCTTTTACAACCATGTGAGGCCCCTGCTCAAGAGTGCATGCTAATTTCTCGTTTCTTACCGCATCAAATTTCAAACTCTTTCTGTACAACATCTAAGCAACTGCTATTCATCCTGCTTCTCAGTAGTCATAGTGGGATTACTCAGTGTCCTCACACATGAGCACTGATTCCTTCTATGCTATTAATTCCTACCTGTAGTCTGAGAGACCCTCCTTTTTCACTACTTTTTCCTGCAGGATATAGATGTAGAGATGCCAACTATGAGCGTTGTGCCAGGAACTTTCCTAATTCCGGGTACTAACAACATGACTTCAGTCAAGTTACTTAGCCTCTTTTAGCCTCAGCTTCTTCACCTTACAGTGGGATGCTACTGATACTTCACAGGAATGTTGTGGGAATTTCATGCAGTAAGTCACATTAGGCACCTACTTAGCGTAGTGCATGGTGAGAGCTCAGTAAATGCTGTAGTTTTCCTCACTCATTGATCAACACCAAGCTCCTGTCCTACCACCTGTAGAAACTTTGCATTTCATCCTTGGATCATGCCTAGTGAGGTTTCAGAGACTTGGTGTAGAAGAATTGAAGGTAGTTATTGTGGAGAGTTGCAAAAAGATTCCGCAGACAAATCCTTGTCTTAACACTGCAGGTTTTAAGTAAGAAACGGGAGGCAGAGTTAGTGGAAAGAATATTAAATGGGTACCAAGAGATTTGGGAGTTGATCCTTGGTGGGCTTATGACTAACTTTTTCGACTCTAGTCCAAACAAATCAATTTTCCTGTCTGTGCATCTGGTTTATCTGTAACCTTTAGGTTACACTATAACCTTTTAACAAAGTAAATGCATTAAAGTAAATAAATTTCAATGTCACTTAGTTCTGCTAAGTACTCAGCATTTTAATACGATGATCATAAAATAGTGGCACAAAAATACAGCATGACATAGCTTCTCTTGGTCTTTTGCTTAGTTAGCTACCTCCAAGGAACCTTAAACATTACAGGTAGAGCACAACACGGGTGTGCTGTCAACTCTGGAGTGTTCAGTAATGGAATGCCAGGCCAGATTTTTAATCCTTTTGAGAATAAGGTTTATTGACTCTGTTTTCTAAAGGAGCTGAATTTTAACCCATTTATTCAGACTTGTACACAGGCCTTTGGTTTACTTGGCAAAACTATATCTATGCCCTTGGTGATAAAGTAGTGAGAGCCTCAAGTTTCTGTTCTTTTGCAAAGGACTTTCCTCATTATTATGCTTTTTTTGTCTCTAGGATCCAAACCAAGCAGATGAAGAAGCAATGACACAGATCATCCGAGTGTCCTAACCCCAGGCCATGTGATGGACCTGGATTAAGGTCACCTTCCTCACCATTGTTCCAGGAAATTGATCAGTTCTTCCAATGGGACACTGATGATCACATTCTGCCCTTTTTACAGGACAGAAGCCCACTTAGTTTTTAATAAGTGGCTCAGTATTATAATTGCAGCAGTGTCTGGCAAATTGAAGTTGCAAGTCTTTCTCACCCTTTCAGTCAGGACCTGTTTTAGACTGTTGATTACATTGACATTTCATGGATTAGGATGATGCAAGCGACTCATGCCAGCCCAGCAGTACCACACACAGCACTTACGTTGTCTGGTGAAGCCAGCCAGCTATCTCAGCAGGGGAAAATAACCTTCTCAAGTTAAACTGAATTTGGGGAAGCTGGAGCCTACTTCTTCCCATGGAATCTAAAAAACCATCCATCCCTCTGATGAGGGATCTCAGGCTAAGTAAATGGACGCTCTGTGTTCAGAGATGACTTCCTGGCAATGAAGTTCCATCTCGTAATATGGAAACAATAAATTCTCTGAGATATATTCATCTAATCTGTGGTAATAATAAGAATCTCTGTCTGCCCAGATGATAGGTTGGTATTTTTGGACTCCAGCCAAGAAAAAGCTAATTCTGGGGATAGAATGATAAAAGAATCAAGCACTAAAAATAATAATTGCTGTATCTTTTTTAGCTTTGACCAGTTGTGGTCTGCTTGTGCATCTGTTGACAGGTCATCTGGACCATAGTTCTTACTATAGCTACTTTTAAGACATTTTAGAAGGTATTGGAACTCGAAACTTCCTTTCCTAAGTAGAGAACAAAACAATACAACTTCCATGCTGAAGTGCTGAAGACAGTGGTCGCACCTCCTAAACAGAGCCAAACTAGAGATTTTCAGTCATAAGCTTGGTGACAGCATTTGGAAAATAGAAGGGTTTGTGTGTGTTTCAGTCTAGAAGAAGAGAGAGTTGTATGTATACCCATATGTTGTCATATAGCATGATTGATTCTTCAGTGGATGGATGCCTGGGATGGATCATTAAGATGAGAATAATTTACATTTACACTATAGCCTTTTACCAAGAACAGAAAGGGAGCGGTATGAGATTTGGTCCTTGTCAGTTTCTGGAAAGCACTGTTCAATGCAGCTGCTGTGGGTGTTCTCCAGGTTACCTGCTAGAGCTTGAGGCAGGTAGATGTTGGCTTCACTCCTGCAGCACTTTGTGCTGGCCCCAGAAAACACATATTCTCATTCTTCCCATGGCAACTGACTCTGGCTCCAGTTTTCATTTGTTTCCCTCCTTTCTCAATAGGCCTCGTGCAGGAGGTTTTCATATTGCATCCATATCCTGGGGACAAATTACAGACTGGAAATCAAGGTGCCTGCAGTGTAAGAAACTGGACCATAGTTCCCAGAACGGGTTGTGCCTCATTTTCTAGATGTTGAACCCTGTTTAGAAATAAGATGATATTTCAGAAGAGCTTCTTCCTACTCTGGAAACAAAACAATTCTTTTGAGAAACATGTGGGTTTGACTTAAATACCAAGCGTAAAGATTGGCTTTTTTATTTTACTCTACATTGAGAGAGAAAAGATAAATTTAACTCTAAAGAAAACATCACAAAGGGAAATCATTGTAATAGAAAAGAGGTACAGGGCTATGCAAAAGAAGCAGGAAGTGAAGTATTTCTAGTTCCTGAAATCAAATTATCTCTTGGCTTCTGGTGGGGGTCAGGGAGCTGATTCTTTGGTAGGCTCACTAGAAACTTCTGGCTCTTTTTATATATTGAGTTTCAGATGTTAATTTTATCCAGTAAGCCCCAAACTTTTCAGATGATAGATTATTAAAAACAATGAGGAATTTATATATCCTTTGGTTTGTTTAGGAATCTTTAAGATGCAGAGTTCAGGAAGAAATTCCTCAGATTTAATTTCTAGTATTTAGGCCAATAGCAATTCTAAAATGCTATTTATTTGTGTCTATAAGTTTGTACATAGTAATACCAACCTCATTGTTGCAGAATTATTTTTTCATGCATTTGAGTTTTGTTTGAAATGAAATGCTGGTTGTTATTTTGTCACTGCATTTCAGCTAACTCCCGGCCCTCTTATTGTGGTCATTTTAGCACACCATAATATCCCACAAAGTGGGGCTTTGAGATTTGGACATTTTCTTTGTTACTAGAAGTTCTTTTATTCATTTGTCCTTGTGACTGTAGTGATGACTTCTAGATGCAGAAAGAGTGAATGGATGAGTGAATAATTGGTTTAATGCATAGTTATTCTACTTGAGTGCTTTTTTCCTTTCAGGATAATTGTAAATGAATATATTTTCATTGTACTGGTACATTGAACATGTCAGTGTCTGTACCACTGGACCAACAACATTTTATGGCTATTGAGTGCCTGATGATAATGTCTTGCTTTTTCTTTGGGACTCCAATTATATATCTTTTGCCCTCAGCAGTAAGGGGAGTACAGGTGATATGATCATTGATGTCATTGCAATTGTTATTTTTTAAAATAAATTTATAAAAATACTAAAATGTTATTTGAATTTTGAGAAGTCTACATCCCCTGGGTTTTAAGCTGTTAATAATGTTGAAATTGTGATCTCTGTAGGCAGACACGTGAACTCTGTGTACAGTGTCAAACTTGTAGTGCCCAAACCTCTTAGTTATCTTGCCTCTTAACCTCCTTTTCTGTTTGGCTCTCCCACTGGGCTAACTAGGTATTTTCTGTCACCTGTGAACTAATCATATATTTGGTCTTATTGGAAGAGTTAATCAAAATGCAAAGAAGTAATTCCTTTAGTGAAATTAGCCCACCAATACAGCCTTGATTTATTAGGTGTTGTGTAACTATAGATAGTGACGGTGAAGTTTTTACATTTTTATTTCCTCGTGAATCTGAGCAACAGACTGGCAACCTAAAGCGTGCCGGTATACAAAAGTCAGAACCGGGAATTAAGAGAAAACCAGCCACAGGGAAACCTCCTGTAAGAGACCCAATAGACTTGTCCTGGCAGACAACAGAAATAGAAGAAACTCTCCCCTAACAATTAAACTAACAGTAAAATAGCTTTAGTCTAACAGTGTTAGATTTAAAGACCATCCTGAGTTTGCTTTAGCCAGATGCCAGTGGAATTTGTCCTTAGAAATTCAGAGATGACCCGTTTCACCTGTGATAGGACGCAAAGACCGCCCTATTGATATTTATCGCAGATTATCTGTTTTGTACGGGAAGCCTCTTCACTATCACATTTCAAGATGAAAAAAAAAAACCTCAAATGCCCAAGGCTTCCCTGTCACGCCTCCACCGTCCCCCGCCCCCATCCTGACCAGAGCAAGAGCGAAGGCAGCCAGGAGCAGGTGGGGCGGGGCCCGCAGCCATTTTCGATTAGTGATACCACAAGGAAGGCTACACTCATTGGCTCACGGGAGGGCCCTGCCCGAGCTGTCAATGTGGATTGGCTGCTACACGAGGGACCCGGTAGCTAGATGGGCAACCCCGCCACCGTCATGGCGTCCGGCGACGCGGTGAGGGCGCCGTTTCTGTGGCCTGTGGGAGCCCGCTTGGCGGCGCTGCTTCCCGACCTGCTGGTCTTCAGGAAGCCACGGGCGTCGGAACCCGAGCTGGCCACCACCCATGGCGTCCTCCTTAGCGTCCACGTGACGGGTGAGGGCCAGGGGAGGTGCGTCTCCCTCCCCACCTGCCAAAGGAGCGGCTGTTGAGCCTCAGCTCGTAGAGGCCAAGGCGTTTAACCGGCCTGGCCCCGGGCAAGCTAAGATGCTGTTTACCTGCAGGCCGCCGGAAACTTTGAGGGCCATTCTCAGAGGAGGACGCCTTTAGGAGTAACCTGGAATAGCCCTTGAGTTCTTTCAGAAATGATGAAATTGAGACTCATAAAGGGGAAAGGACTTCCCCTGGGCCACATGGCAGACTGAATCCAAGTTTCTCCCAATACCGAGCGTTTTCCAATAAGAATTTTTCCTCATTTGCTTATTTTATTCGTTCAATTAATTCATTCTTTGGGTTTACAAATATGTGCGCCCCATTGTTCTAGGAGTTAAGAAAACTAGCAGCTATTTGATAGTTGTTTATTTAACAAATTTGTATGGAGTGTGTGTCATGGATATGAAGATGAGTCGTAGAAGGTGTCTTCCTCAAGGAGCTCAAAACGTGTTCTCTATAAAGCATTAATCTGTCCCCTCCTCAGTGGTGTCTGTCACAGGGGTAGAAATCCTACAGTTCCCTTGCCCAGGGGGCCTCAGAGGATGGCGGGGAAGAGGCAGCTGGCTTCAGGGGAAAAGGGGCTCCACCATCCGCATCCCCTGGGAACATGGAGAGGGGCCCCCGGGATTCCCCCAAAGGCAGCAGCAACCAGCCTGGCCCCCAGCCATGCTACAGGATAATGAATTGCTCACCTCCTAGAGGTCTGCTGCTTTTCCACTGGTCTGATATGTGGAGGGAATAGGGCCTCTAAGTAGGATTTGCAGCTAACTTAGTATTTTCTGCTTTGTTGGTCAGGGTTTACAGCATTAATGGACAGGTTCAGCCAGACCTGCAAGTCGGAACGTGACGTGGACGAACTGGCCCACATCTTCAGTTATTACATTAGTGACATTGTGGAGCGTGAGTGACCATTGTGGGGGAGCAAGGAAGGTGTGGTCTTGACTCCTGAGGGTTTGTGGCAGAACAGGGCCAGGGGTGCTTTAAAAGGGATACTAAAGGGATACTAATTCTTTCAGTAGTGCTTCATCTTGGCTCTTCAAGTTGCCACTGACAAGCTTGATTTTTGCCTGTAGCTGCCATTCTCCCCAGTCTCACACCCTGTCAACTCAATGTTCAGAAACGGGGGAAAAAAACTAATTTTAACTTTGCATGTTTGTATTTTATTTCAAAATAAAGTACTCCTCAGGGTATGTCTTCTAACAATAATGTAATGTGCCTCATGTGTGTATATTAGATATAATTTACAAAACACCTTCCCACGTTGGTATTGCATTTTGATCCTATGAGGCAGAAATGAGTATTTCCTTTATTTTCTGCCATGTATTAAGCTTGTGCATATTTGAGTAATCTGGAAAAGAAACTCCTTATTTGTGCCGTAAACATGTTTTGAATACCTACTCTGTGGCGTGCACTATAATAGTGCAGAGGGTGCAAAAACCTACTCTTTGGGCCCTTTCAGTCTAATTAGGCCTACCTGTTACCGAACAAATGGACCCATGACAGGGGGTGCCCAGATGCTATTACCGAAATGACACCCCCCTTGCCCCGGAGTCCCTCGGTTGTGGGTCCTTTGCGCGCCGCCCTTGGAATTATGGCTCTGAATGGCAGAGTTTGGGGAAAAGGAAAGGAACTATTCAAAAGTTATACAGGTTTGATTAATGGCTAAATGTCACCCTTAAATCTCAAAATCCCTTTAAAACAATCACCAGCACACACACCGTCCTGCCTTCCCCCCTTTTGCCCAGTTAGGCCAATCAGGCCAGTCGGGGGTACCGTCCTTCAGAAGAAAAAGAACAGAAGTCCAGGGTTCGGCTAGGCAGGCCTCTCTTGGGTCTCAGCACCATCCACTGCGTCACCGCGATCTCCAGCTCTTAATCCATAACCATGTGGCACCTTCTCCCGGCCCCCCAGCAAGAGTCCTTTCTCCCCTCTTCCCACATGGTCTTCACACTGTTCCCCAGAGTCTGTGTCCCTTTGACTCTACTGCAGGCCCCTGTCTCTCCTCTTTCTTTCCCAGTTACATTCTGTATTAAGTCTTTTAAACCTTCCAGATTAGCTTTGGTGATATGCAAAATAACCCTCTTTGCATATGAGGAATGAAGCTCTCCCGTTATTGACATACAAAATGACTTCTCAATGGCCCTGCTCAAGGCTCCCATCCCCCATGGCGGCCCACCCTGGGGTGGGGAGAATATATTTTTCTTGGACACCCCAATCTCTGGACTCTGTTACAAATACCCCTTGGGGGGCCCCTAGCTGTGCCCCGTTACATACCCAACGGAAATTACTCTGGCCCTGTACTCTTTAGTAACACTCCCATTCTTTACTGACAGTGCCCCATACAGTTATGTCCATCATTCTGAAATTCACCAGAATACTTACTTTGTAGCATCCTCCTTTTGACTCTCCCCTTACCCCTGAGGAACAAGTATAAACAGTCTTTCAATTTTTCTCACCAAGGTTAGATGAAAGGGGGAGAAAGAGATTATGTATTAAATAGGAATTGTAACACCAGGAACTACTGTGTACTAGAAATATAGGGAGAAGTAAGACAGAGTACCTCCTTTTTTGGAGTTTCCAATTTAGTGGGAAAGACAATAAATAAGATGATTATCAATTACACATTCTACAAAGGATATAAATAGGGTGTGGTGGTAAAAAAAAGAAATGTAGGGTGATAGTTTCTATATTAGGGTAGTCATAGGTGGTGTTTAAGCTGAGATGTAAATGTAAGAGCAACACCTTGTGAAAAGCCTTTCAGACGGAAGTATGCCAAGTACAAAACTTCTGAAATAGGAGAAAGCTTGACATGTTTTAAGAACTGAGCAGCCAGAGTGGCTAGAGCATAGCTAGTGAAGGAGGAGCGGTTTGAGGTGAGGTTGGAGATGATCAAGCTGTTTAGGCCATAGTGAGGAGTTTGGATTATATATGTTCTTACAGAGGGGAAACTATGAAAAGGTTCTCTAGCAAGGGAGTGGTGTGATTTGACTTATGTTTTTTAAAAGTGCATTTTAGCTGTCTCATGGAGATTGGGTTATAGGAAGCTGATGAAGTCTAAGTAGTAAGAATGGTGCTGGAAGAGATAATTGGAAGAGTTGTGGAAAGATGATAGAAATTTGGTCTAGGGTAGTGGTTCTCAACATTGGCAGCACATCAGATATCCTCTTGGGGAGCTTTTAAAAACCCTGATGTCCAGACCAATTAAATCAGAATATTTTGAGGCAGGCCTAAGAATCAGATTTTTAAAAGTTTTGCAGGCAATTCCATTGTGCAGTCAAGATTGGAATCATTGGTCTCAAGATATAGAGCTATATGGAGCTGGATTGATTTGAAATATATTTTTCAGATTTAACAGACAAGATTTGCTGATGTATTGAATTTCAGTGAGAAGTGGTAAGGAAGGGGACTCAAGTTTTCAGCTTTCATAAATGAATTGATGGTGGCATCACTTACCAAAATGGGAAAGTCTGAGCTTTGAGAACAAAAATCAGGTTCTGTTTTGAATATTTGGAGCTTGAGATGCCAATAAGTCATTCAAATGGAGAGACCAAAGTGTGAGCTGATGAGAAGAGTATAAATAAAGAGAAAGAGCCTAAGACTGAGGCTTAAGGAATTCCGGGGAGAATTATGATTAAGTAGAAAGAGACTACAAGATAGCCAGTGAGGTAGGATATTGTGGTATTTATGATACCAGAAGAAAAATATCTGTCTAGATGAGGGTGGTGGCTAGCTGGCTTGAAAAT